AGGATCATAGTGGTAAATTAAGTATACGAGTATAAGTGGTAAAGTGTTATATACTTTTTGCAAAGTCGATGGATGGGATGTTCTTGCAGAACTGTATAAACAGCCTGTGATTCAATCCTGACTTAAGTTTAAAACTCTAACGCCCGGTTTCTGAAACACTGATCATCGTAGAAGTCAACTAATCAGCTGTCAAATAGCTTTTCAAATCCTTTTTGAGTTGCCAAATAAATTGTTAAACTCTCGGAATTGATTAGAATGATCTTTTTAATGATCAATGTTTCAGAAACCGGGCTTAAGTTTGTGATATTGCGTTGTTTTTATTTGAATAACGGTAGTCGCCAAGGCGATCATCCTCTAGCCTAGCTATGCCAACTATTTTTGAATTCTCTATACCATGAATAGGTAACAATTACTAACAAAAGACAAGACTGAACCAAAGCATCTTGTAAATTTTCAGCCAGAACCCACGGGTTTGGGCCCTCCGCTGTGGGTAGGGCCGCGCATGTGCTCATGCGTGCGATTAACTACGACATGTCATCTAAGGGCCATCGAAGTTGCGGTGCGGACCGAGACCCCGATGGCCGTCGACTGTGTTTTTAGCTAATCGGTGGCTGGGGGCGGTGAGAACCGCCCTGGAACGCGGGTGTACCTTGTGTACGCGTTGTGTTGGTCTCGCCGTGCTCGTAGGCGAGGGCGAACTATTGTGTTTGTTGTTACACCAGCTGTGGGTGTAGTGTTATCCGGCGGGACCCCCAGGGGTGGGTCCGGCGTATCTAAGTCCCCTTCCTCGACCGGGTAGATGAGGACGTTTCGCGGGCGACGCTTGTTGACGTTCGCGTTTGTGTCGGGTTGGTAATTTGCTGCGCTTACCACCAGAGGGTTGGGATGATGTTCGGCTCTATCGAAGAACCGTTTGGTCAGGTCTTTAAAATATTCGCGAATCGTTGGGAGTCTGCAATCGCTGTGCAGATCGACGTTGCGTTGATACCACTGCGCACCGGTTGACGGCGGATGAACTTATTTTGTACTATTTGCAGCTTGTACAAGCGAGTAGGGTTCGTGTGGGCGAAGATCATGCATGCGTAGGACATAATAGGTCGTACGCAGGTCTTATATAATAATAATTTGTGCCTTAAGGGCATTTTACTTTTAGCGTTAGTTAAATTGTGTAGCCGGCCGGAGACGAACGCGGCTCTATTACGAACGTTATTAATGTGCGTAGTAAATGACATACGCGAGTCGAAAGTGACTCCTAAGTATTTGACCTTTTTCTCCCAGGGGAGCGGTTGGCCATAAAGGGATATTTGCCCCAACTTTCTGCATTAGCGAGGGCCATTATAAAGATGGTAAGTACTTCGTGTGAAGTGAATCGCCACACTCTTTTCGGGATTTATTTCTATTCTCCATTTGCGGAACCAATCTCCGAGGCGGTCGGCGGCGCTTTGGAGTCGAGTGATTAGTATTCTAAGGTTGCGATCTGAATAAAAGAGCGCGGTGTCATCCGAAAAGCGCGAGATTGACGTGGGGGTCTTTGGGTATGTCGCTCGTGTAGAGCGTAAAGAGTAAGGGTGAGAGGCAGGAGCCTTGTGGAACGCCTGCCGTGAGGCGGCGGCTTGTGTAGAGGGTGCCCTCAACCCGATATCGAAAAGATCGGTTCGATAGGAAGGCCCGGATGGTGTGTACGAGCCCATCTGGCACTTTGAGTGTGTGATTCGCTAATGCAAATCCGTGCAATATTAGAAGTAACCCGCCAAAAAATGGTACATGCATACACATGCCTGTGTTTCGACAAGTCAAAACTTGAAAGCAATAATCTCCTAAACTCCTAAACAAAATTGGATTGGTGTAAAGAAAAGACATTTGCAATTATTTTTCGTCAAGAATTCAATAATCGCATTTAATTTTTTTTACTATATCTGCGTGTAAACAGTTGCTTACAATATTGATGGTCAATTATTTCGCTTAATTTATTGCATTCAATTATTGCCCTTACAATAAAATGACATCATGTAAATGGGTCTTACTGTTGTGCATATGAAAATAGACTTAACAATATAATATTATATAGTCTGTGAGCGTAGATCGTAACATTTTATATACGTATAAGCACATTTTTTGTAATTAACCAAGAACTCATTTTACATAGCAACGAATCGGAATCGAATTCAAAAATGTGTTTAAAATACTATTATGGGAAAACGAGACAAGTGACTTGCGATAAAAATACGCACACGATTGCGTGTCGTTGGAATTTAGAAATTTCCTAGAAAGTAGCTTCATCGACGGCGGACCGACTCTCCCGCGGTATTGCGGTACACTAAAGTTATAGTACAATCCAAACCTGTAATTTGAATATGGAAGGCGGCGCGTCTGGCAACAACTTCTCCGGTAACCAACTAGTTAATGTGAAATCGAGGCGTATTCGGATGTTACCGTCTAATATCCGATAAGGTATCGAAATATTATGCAAGCTACACGAACTTCATTATCCGCACTGCTCGTATATGCACATTACCGACATTGCAATTATAACTTCCAATAAGTAATAACACATTTATTCTCATTACAAGAGATACGGTCATGAGCCATAATAATTGATTTAGGTACATTATTCGATACGTCAGAAATTTGATTTTACAAGTAAATTCGATAACATCCGTAAATATCGTTGTTGAAATATTGTTGGGTATAATATGAGTAAAGCTCTGTCCGAACAAAAACATGACCGAATATTTGTCTAATTGATACACTGGGACTACCTTTATTACTGTATTTTTCTGCTACAGACGAATAAATTATGATATATATGTATTTTATAATTAATTGCCCTAAATTAATAAAATATACAATTAAAATCCTAATAATTTTTGCATATTAATTAACTGTACAATAAGTTGTAACAAGCAAAATAATGATAAAATATTTGAAAAATAATGAGAAAATTATTACCAAAATGCTAGTAAACGGATTAAGCTTTTTATTGGATTTCGTTCAAAACAGAGTCCAAAGTAAACAAATTCTACATCCGTAATGTAATAATACAAGTACTTAAAACAATAACAGTAACGCGATATTATCTGTCACCGGCGGTTTCAAATGTGTTCGTAGAATGTCGGAAATAGCGGTTCTTGGTAACTATCGAAGTAGGATAGCCAGAACTAATATAAAATAAATAGATGTTTTTGTGCATACGATTTATAAATCTTGTTCTTTAAATTCAAGTAATCATATTTTAGCCTACATCGATAAAGTGCACTATAATTTTGCTGCTGTGCCAAGTGCAAACTCTACATTTTAACTTGATGCTTAGGTTAATTTTTCGACTTTGCGAATTAATGAAAAAACTCAGACTTAACGACCTTACAGGGTGTTTTAGGTAACTATGATAAAAGTCTTTTCCGAGGTCAATAAAGCGTTAAAAGTCGATAAGACTAAATTATATTATTCTTGATAACACCAGTTGAAGAAATTCTCAACTTTTATTTTTAACGTATTATCACGTGGTTTTCCGTAAAAATTCGATCGTCATGTTTCCACGTTATTTATTTAAGTTGTATAAAATTTGCACTGTGATTGCACGTGAAATAAAATTAAATCGTTATTGTCTGTAAATATTATTATTCTGCAATTAGACAACACTTTTTAATTACATATTGATTATCTTTTAAAATTCGGTGGCTGAACCCTAGACTTATAGACTCCTCAGTAGATTCAGCGTAGCTTTTTGTGACATAGTACACAATTGATACAATAACGATAATAGAATCTCATTAATCTATTCATACCATACATTATGGTTTCGCAAATAATTACAAATCAGGCTTTATACCAAACAAGATACGACAACAGCATTATTGTATTATTTGTTGTAAAGGACGCAGCTATCCTACTTTATTTATTTTTGCAGTGGCCTCTTACGGCACCCAGGGGACGAGAAGAGACGTTCACTTGCGATATCATAAAATGTATTTACAACTTACTTAAATCTGAAACACGAATTTGGCTACAGCCAATGGATTAAACAAGTAGAATTTTAATAAAATAAGTGTAGAAGTAATATTATTGAAGATTTAAATAAATTGATATTGATTATATTTGAGCTAATTCTAAGATAGTGCTCTTTCTCATTAGGTACGAAATTATATAACCATAAAAAACAATTTTTTGTAACATTGCAACACTACACATTCGCAAATGTCATTCATTAGTTTTAGTTCAAATCATTAGGTTTAGTTTAGTTCATAGTGTTTTGTTCGTTTGTATGTAATGCGCATTTTCATTTCTTTCTCTCTCTGTCTTTTCCTCTACTTCATTTGTATATTTATATTGACTATTAGTACTATTGTTTTGAATTGGATAACAGTACTCTATTGGTTATATTGTCACGTAGAAAAGAAAAAAATTAAAAATTTAACTCGACAGATTTGACAAGTGTCTCGTTGGACATCAAAATAAGAAAGGGCGCCCGAATGGGAGGAAAGTATTCTTTCTTTTTATTGATAGAAATCACTTTTGAATTAACTATTATCATTATAAAGTGGGTTAAACACTCGCCACTCTTGGTTTATTAAACCAATTTTGCCACTGAGCCTTCTGGTCGCCATACCGTAATTTGAATACAAAGTTTGGTAATGCAATTAATTGTATATTAAGTTTTTGATTTTTGTTTTTTTTTTCGGTTTGCAATAAATTATATTATGTATATTTGAATAATTATTTTTTTATAATAATTATTCATAGAGAATAGATTGTCTAAAAACATAGCATTAATGCGTTGATTGAATAAGACCCTGGTTAAAAAGGATCGCGTTAACATTGAGTCAGTGACGATAGAAGACATTCGACGCAGTAATTTGCATTAAGCAATTCATGTACTATAATTTATGTAAGTACCAGCCGCACTTTTGAAATGTTTTCATAGCGACGGTATTCGAATGCGCGCTAACGTAAAAAGTCCGTCGGTATCGCGTCCGCTAACACAGTTTCGTTAACTTGCCTCAGCGTGGTAGCGGCAGGTGTAGCTGTGGCGGCAGGAGAGCGGGATCTTCGGGGCTTTGCGGCGCGGTCGCCGACGTGAGCGGCGAGATCAAAGCGCCCGCGAGGGTCGACGCACGCGGCTCTCGATCCTCGATCGCCTCTCGCCCCGCGCACCTACCCCTCAATCTTTAAGCCTAGTGTTGTGCGAAACAACGGGTTGTGTTTTATATTACAACTGCGCTACGTTATCTCCTCTTTGCGTCCATCGTTTGTTTATAAACGCTAATTTCGAAACGAAGGCTTCCGACAATTTCTGCAACGATAAAGACATATTACGTTATGTTCATCGCTGTCAGCATAGATGGAATGGAGATTTTCGGCATAAATAAATAATTTAGTTCGCACTAATAGCTAAATTATCTCATGATCAGTATTATGAATGACGTTTGATATATATTACAATTTTATCTACGTATATGTTTTTTAATTTAGTTATTTATTAGTATTTATCAATATCAATATGTATATAAATATTTTTGAGTATATATACATATATACCTACGGATATAGTTCTAATTATTAGCACCTGCACTGCACTTCTTTCACTAACTTTCCGGTTGGCTGGTAGAAACCCGAGGTTTGTACCCACTTGTACAAAAACAACAACATGTTAAATAAATAGGTACAATTTTAGCGTATGTAACATTAATAGAAGACATTATTAAAGATTATTTAATGTTATTTCTTCAAAGTATGATTGATGTTTTTCTACCGTAAAAATTGTCGCTAACCTATCTCTAACTGGGTCCATCATATTACGTCCGTATACCGCCAACATATACCTAGTCGGAGGCGAAAGGAAGCCGCGACCATCCTCACTATTCACGTAGCACGTATTGTTGATTCGAATACGGTCCGATGCGTTCGAGCGCCGAAGAGCCGGGTGCGCGAAATACGCCCAAAGGCACCCAGCGTCTTTGAACCGGTTATTGTTTACAAACGGCCTGCGTATAATGGCCATAAATTGCCCGAACAAAATATCTCCGCTCGCTTAATTCTACGAAGCGTTCCCCTTCCGCACAAAACGGCGGTGCAGCCGAAAAGGAGACGGAACGAACTATTAGTCTACCTTGTCTATATAATTTGTCCATGAATGGATAACTTCACGCCAAAGATAGTCGTTAGTTTGGATATTTTGATAAAGATACTATGAAAGTAAGTAGGGAAAGGTGAGCAAAATAAGATGAAGCATCTCTTTCGAGTCTTGAACAAGTAAATATCTACATATCCAAATGTTTTTATAACAAGCGAATACATTTCATGGGGCATCTTGTGGTACTTTGATAACGGCATTTTAATCTCGGCATCTATGCTTTACGCCTCAACGTATCGGCGCCAAAGAAATTGATTTTCTTTAGAAATAAATAAAATTCACCTACATAAACATACGAACGTGAGCATTTAGATTAGTTGATTTAATAAGAAACTTTGGGGTTATGTCGGCCAGTTCCAAAGCTTTTGCCTTCAAAGAGAATAAAAAAAACAAATGGTCGTTAAAGAGGGCGAGTGTGCAGTCGGTATGTACCTGCCGTAAAGCAGGGCTGCTAAATCTGACTCAAACAAAAGCATCCCAGACACGTTAAAAAATTAACAAGCTCTGCTTTATGTGTATTATTAGAAATGTATAGCTACATTAATATTTATCTGTCTTTAAATCACATTGGCTCTATAAAACTTTACGGTGAAATATTTATAAGTAATGGAAGCACTAAAATGTTATCAAAAAATATATAACTTAATAAAAACCGGTCAAGTGCGAGTCTGTAAAACGGCAAAAAAAGCCTGTTGTATGAGAGCCATACTTAAACATTTTTTATTCTGTTTTTCAATATTTCTTGTTATAGCAGCAACATGAATATATATAGCATCATCTGTGAAAATGTGAACACTCTAAATATCACGGTTCATGAGATACAGCCAGACTGACAGACAGACAGCGGATTCATAGTAATAAACGGAACCCCTTTTTACGTTCCTCCTTTGGGTACGGAGCCCTAAAAGCAACTAATACACTGTTTATAAATCCTAGTTAATCTCATGGACGTTTTGAATGTTACAAACGTAATTTTTTACCGTTAAGGTGAAAGTCGTTCTGGCACCATTCGTGTAAACACTAAACACTATTTTGTCTGGCAACCCTAACTGTGGCACCGGCTTGGCTTGGGCACTGGCACGGCACATCGCGGCGGATTGAATTAATTAGCAGCGCACCGCTTGGCGGGCGCGCCACTCACTGTCTTTATAACATAATTTGCACTTCATGCGGCGAGATCAAAGCCGCGGCCGGTCGCTGTCGGCACCTTTGATCACCGCGGACCTTTACTGCCGCCGCCTTCACGGGGCACGACTCGAAATAGTCAATTTGGGAGCTAGTTTTTTTCGACACAGGCTTGATACTCTTGACAGAGTTGTATATGAATGCAATAAAGGAATAATGTCTAAAATGTCCACATTGGACTTTGTACAAGTTTTAAAAGAGTTTAAATAAACATCCATGAAAATATTTCGACAGATAAGAGATATTGATGAATTAAAACGAACTATATGTAAAGACTTGACTAAACTTTGATCGAAAACATCGAATATAAAAGTCGGTAACGCTAACCACAACTAAAAAAATCTATTATAAAAACTCAAAATTATTTGCAAGCAATGCTAGTAACATGTTTGCAAATAACAACGGGGGCTGTTTTATCCCTCATGTGTGTTCACATCTTTTTGTCATAGAGTACTGGATAGATTGCCCAAACTGTTATTAACAAATTCATTGGTGCTGGCACCGGGATTTCAATTTAGTGTGTTGAAATGTACTGAGCGCTTGGCATTTAACATATTCCTTAAGATTTGATATTTTTTTTATTTACTTCTAATTCTCAACCCGACGGAAAACATTTCCCCGTTATTAAAACAACTTAATTTGATATAAATTCAACGCTTTAAAGCAAACTTTTATATACCGATACGTTTAAAACCCCCTGAAGTTAAGTATATTATCTACCAACTAAATAAGTTTTGTAGATACTTTGTGTTTTTAAGAGTCATGCTTTTTTCTTTCGTTGAATTTTGGGAACGTTATTTCCGAACAAAAATAAAAAGTGAGAGTCAAATGGCTAGGGGATCGGGCAACTACCGTGACAGTAACACTTAAGCCACCGTCCATCGACCCCGAGATCGCCGTGGACGGAAGTCGGTTAGGTAAGAATGGTTTGATTCATTTTATCGCCCTCTTTCAACAATGAATTCCTAAACAATTAAACATTCATACATGCACACCATCAAAACTTATCTCTACTTACACAAAATATGATGCGGTCGTGATTTTAACACTTAAATAATGTTATTATGTGTATTAAATTTTTATATTACGATTACAATAACAAAAATACAAATACCTTAGTTTAATAATGCAATTGTGTCGGTCGGTGTAATAGACAGTTGTCAAGGTGTTGGGCTTCGAATCAGCGAGTCGTGGATTCGACTTCCACTTTGCGCAAATATATGACTTGCAAGTTTGTATCGCGATGCTTGTCTACGTTTAGTTTATGTTTGCAAATCTTATCTGCCAATGCAAGATAGCGCTGAGATAAAGTTGCTTCTAAAGCATTAACAAAAGTAAACTAAAGCACTAACTTTCTGTTCCATTTTTAGTTTATAAATTACCAATGGAGAAGCCGGTGCTAATCGGCATCCAGATACGGAGTGATTCGCTTAAACGGAGCCCGAAAGGAAGCGGTGCCTCGGCACTTGCGAGCGGTAGCCGACAAAGGGATAAAATATAGTGGTAATTAATTTGATGGCGCGCTGCACGCTAGCGACTGCATGCTCGGTCCGATGGTATCGGTCACGACGGTTCCACGGACGTACTCGTAGGCTACGTACAGCACATTGCGTTTCGTTCATTTAAGATTGCGCTACACAGTTACAAGTCAGTGCTGAAAGGCACGGTTGCGTTTGCCATGGGAAAACAGGCTGTTGTCCTTTCACTCTATGTTAAACTCTATCTCCCATGTTCCACGCACAAGAACAAAGATTCGCTACGTCGTTTTTCATCAGTACCGCTAAGGGATGGAACAACCTGCCGGCGTCCGTCTTTCCGTCCGATTACAACGTAGGCGTCTTCAAGGCAAGAGTGAATAGGTTTTTACTGAGCTAGCGCGCTTACCGTCAATGGCTGCATCGCCACTTACCATCAGGTGGGATGACAGTCAAGTGCTGGCCAGTTTTGAATTTAAAAAATATACCACAACGCCCATTGGGTCGTTGCGTTGCCGACTTTAAGGCCTGACTTATCCCGTTCACCAGACAAGGCCAAGGTATAAAACTGTATTCCAGTCTTCTGGGGAACGTCGGACTTCCCCGACCAGCTACTCTAGTTGCGACAGCATTTTTGAGATAGTAATAATTTAAATATTTTTATACGCACCTTATTGCTTGTGGAGTAGTGTAAGAAATATGTGTAATGAATGAACAATAAATATCGATTTCAGGTATTGAAGAACAATTGGCGAATGAAAGAATGCTGCATTGTTTTTCTTTACTACACCTTCCGCTTCTGTGATTCGTGAATGCGCCCGAAAAGTGTTAGACATATTGCAACCGAAAAAAAATTGAATGTAACCATTATAGCTTCTAATAATAAACAAAATAATGTTATTCATTATCTCGTGTTTTAAACACGAGACAATGCGGCGAAGCCGGTCCGCCGCGCGCCGGCGTAATAGCGGTGAGATCAAAGGATACAAGATAAGTATCACCGCCGGCGCAGGCAGAGGGCCCACGCCCCCTATTTTTGGATACGTTTTAACAGTTTTGACTCTTATCTACACTCGTGGAGTGACTTTTTGCTTTTATGGGCAATACGATAAAAATAAATTCTACACCAAATATTTACATACCGTATGTTATTCAAACACATTCAGCATTATATTTTGTTGTATCGTTTTAATATACCTACCTACTTGTCAAGAATGTGGCGATAAATTAGTATAACATGTTATTTGTCCTCACTGCGAATTTTCCCAAGTTACTTTGTCCTAACCGTAAGAAGTTTTTAATAAATGTGAAATCTATGAAAATCCGAAATAATCGTGAATTAGTACTTATAAGCTACAGAAAAAAAAACGCGTTTTACTTAATACTAACTTGTCAGAATTGTAGTACGTTCCTACAAAAATATTGCAGTTGCGAAACGGCGCTGGCACGTGACGCAAGCACAGTCGGCCCCTTTGAAGCTCGCTTTGTATCGGCAATAGATCGCCGTTGCTGGTGGCGCAATTGCCGCTAAAGGCCGACAAAGGGTCTCGCAGTAGCACAAAGCCATTGATATCATTTAAATCCTTTTGATAGTCGCCGACACGTACCATCCCTGTGGGAAATGTGAAAAACGACGGTCCAACCCCTACTGGTTTCGAGCTTTCAAAAGTCGTTCAACCGAATTTTGCTATTTATGTCGCTCTGCGTTAAAAGCAATTTATCGGTAAGCATGTTTTAAGTAGGATACTTAAATAGTGTTTATGTAGTCATATTAAAGCTATTTATAGAAATTATAATGCCCGACCTAACCCAACTAACCTTGACGCAATTGGCTACTTTATTTAGGATTCTAATAAATACTTACCCACCTAGTTTCATACTGTTCATCTAAAGTTCTAAAGTAATAGAGAAAATAGTTGTTTTTTTCTATCCAATGGTTCATCTAGAACGTGCACATTATACATTTCGTTTTATATCGTATATGGACTTTGTTACATAATAGTTAATAACGCTCCTTGCCTATAACAGCGGAATCACTAAGAACGGCCGACATGGAAGGGAACAGGTTCTGTCTGTAAAAAAATGCGTTCGCGCCGCGAGGTGCGAGGGCAAAGCAGGTACGGTAATCGTTCGTTATTGCCTCTTTGAAGTACCGCCAGGCGATACCGCGCGTTGTTGTAGATTAAATTAATAATTGCTATGACCGCCGCACGCTGGATCGAAAAGTTTCGTGTGAGGAGCTTCAATAACTTTTTGTTGAGTTAAGTAATTTCAATCGAAGAACAAAAAAGCAAAAGTTTTCGCTATACACCCTTTTATTATGTATTATGCATCAATATACTAAGTGTCATCCAACAAACGAGCGAGGTTTTTAATGGTTTCGGTATTAGATGAAGCTTTATATATTACCCAGACTTAAACAAGATAATATAAGGTACTGTTGTTTAGACGTCATGTTAGAATAACTTTTGTTTTTAATATTTCAAATATGATCATAGAAAACACAAGGAATAATTATCTTTTTAAGTTTTTTACACACATGAAGTTATAATTCTCTTGGTGCGTTAGGGAAAAATGAGAGTAATTTTTTTACGATGCGCGCGTACACCGTCACGGAAAACTGACACCCTGAAGTAAGCTAGACATCTACGTTTGTCTGCGTGAGAACTGACAACTGATTCACGATATTTATTTAAATACCTAACAACTAACTTTATATAACTAGATTTTTTCTATTGTAAGTGTCGATTTTTCTGCAAAGGTAGAATAAGGCGAACGATAAAATTTTGAAAATTGAAAAGAATTTACCTTGTTACGCTAAAGAAGTATAACTTCTAAGATACACTTTTTTATATTTATTTTGCCAATGAAAATTGTATTAATTTAACCGGTACAGGTTTTTGTCGTATTTATCTGTATTACACATTCATCGCTTTATGTTTAATCAACAAACTATTAATATGCTTATTTGTTTATTTTAATAGCTTTCGATGAAATCTAAACCAATCGCTCATACTGTTTATTTAAAGAATACTTAGAAATTTAAATGTAGAAAATGTCTCCACCCTGAGTGCGGCACGATTTATCTTGTCCAAACTTTTGTTTCAGAGATATTGCGCAGTTATATTCGAAAAAGATAATCGCACGAAATGACCTGGAATGTTGATAGAAGCGTTTTATTTCTGCTGTTCAGATTTTTGGCAGATCGCCAGCCGTGGCCGCCCCACTTCTCTCGCGTGGGCAATGCCCACTCGTACATATTTTATCGTTTTTTTTTTCTTAATAGTCATTATTCATAAAATTAATACGTCTTATTATACCGCAAATATTAATTTTTCAAGGCAAGTTAAGTGGACAAACGTGTTGTATACGCAAAACGGAGCTTCGAATGCATGCTCAAATGGTCCCATTAACCCGAACATTTGACGAAATTTAACTTAATGATTTAAATTAGGTTTCTGGGTGGTCTAAATGAGCTTCAAGTAGGCAGATAAAAGTTAACAACACTTATAAATGTTTCATTTAGAAAAATATTTTATTTGGAAATAAAGTGAGACGTAGTTATAGATTTTTCGTAAGTATAATGGTCTTCTGACGGCCACTGTTACTACGTAAATGCCACCCAAGTTGAATCCGTTGCTAGTCCCTATTTTTTTGTTATTCTATTCGTGATAACTTGATTTGAATACAAAACTTGACACCAATGTTTTTTTTTCTTATTTTTATTCGATCATTGTCTATATCATTTTGGCATGAACGATTATGGAGGAAATATGTCCTGTAGATATATGTTAAAACCATGTTTTATAACATTGTGTCAGTTTTATTGTGCATTGTGACGAGCATACTTTCAAAATTTTATTCATCATATTTTAATATGGTCTAAATTTTACCTAATTCTTAAATACTAGCAATCTCAGTGTCGCACGAATCTTTGAGTGGCAGAATTATGGCGCTAAATTGCGACTTAGCTTCCCAGTTCTCTCATGTATATTCGTACATATATTTACTATTCCCTTACAACAAAGAAGACTAAAAAAAGACACAGAGGGGTTTTTAACTGCCTTCAAAAAGAAGGAGGTTATCAATTCGGATATTTATATTTTTTTTATGTATGTTCGGGCATAACTTCGTCGTATATAGACGGATTTGCGAAATTCTTTATTTGTTCGAAAGGGTTTCATTTCGAAATAGTTCCATATAAATTTCATATAAATCTGATGATGATTTTCGCAGATAGCAACGGATCTCTTTGAAATATTACAGGAAATCAACCGCGATTGCTGCTATCGCATAAATATGCATTGTTTTGCATGTAACGTTGTAATAGTTACGTACATCATTTTATTTGAAGTCGGTTATTTTTTAGTTAATTTTTTTTTAATATTCGTTTAATTAGGCGCACTGAACTGAACATAATCTAATCTGAATAGAATCTAGCATAATTAAAAAAGAAATAGACACGATTTTTTTTTTATTTTTTTAAACATTACCCTTACTGTAGGATAACATTATCCTGAGTTGTAAGGACGTTTAACATAAATAAATTGTACGTGGACTAACACTCAGATCAGGAACAATTACCTGTGGGTCACACAAATAGTAGTCCCGTGTATGAAACGAACCCACGACCCCCGGCGGCGAAGTCAATATCTTGGAAAATGTGGCACGGAGTCATCAATTTGATTGCATTCTATAATATAGCAAAAACATCATACATATTGAAACATTTTTTAACGGTGGAAGAGCCACGCAGCAGCCTCGGTTATTGCACGAATGGGCTGGCTAGTGCGGGTAAGTAGGTAACACGACCTCACAGATCACAGAAGACCGGCGTTAAGTGGAAGTATGACAAATACTTTCGCGTTTCGTCTGGTAAATGAGGTAGCCGGAGCCCAATTTCCAAAAAGGTTGTCAACTCATCTGCAAACCCTCGGGTGTAGCAGATGTCCATGGGCGGCGGTATTCACCTAACATCAGGTGAACCGACTGCTCGTTTGGCAACTTTTCACATAAAAAAAATTAAAAAATTAACAAGACTGTACCAAGAGGTAATCACTACGTAGTATAAAACAAAGTCGTCCCGCTGTCTGTCTGTCCCTATGTATGCTTATAACTTTAAACTACGCAACGGATCTTGATGCGGTTTTTTTACTAGATAGAGTGATACAAGAGGAAGGTTTATATGTATAATACATTGGACCCGTGCGAAGCCGGGGTGGGTCGCTAGTCAATTTATAATCTTAAGCACGAGTAAGCGAACTCTAATGATTTTACTAACACGAAATGAGACATTCGTGTTGCAACTCAGTAGCATCTCATTCTGAGGTTACGTGATCGAGTTTAAATTAAATTGAATAGAATGGATAACAATTTTCAAAAAGGTTGAAAACAAAAGAGTGGCCACGCGATATTTTCTTTATAACGAACATAAAACATTGTTTGTTGTAAGTCATTTTTGGAATACGACCTCATCTCGGCCGCAGATAAATCGTCGACAATAAACCTAACACGAAGAGGCAGTAAAATTCTAATTTGAAGCGGAGCGTAGACGTCGTTAGGATAACAATGTGGCCCACGATCGTTTAGGACATTTGGCAATTAAAGCGGATTACATAAATACTCCTAATCATTGAAAAACGTAATAACCAGACCTTAGAAACAAATCTCTTACAAAAAAATTTGTACAAATGTATTTATCATTCTATTAGATGTTTTTTGTTGTAAAATAATATACAGAATCTTTCTCCAAAACTAATTACTATTCTTACGACATATACAGTTTATGATGACTTTGTGCAAACTTACGGACTATCCGTCAATTACTAATTAGTTGGTTATGCTATAAGTCGCCCCGTTCTCACCGACAGACCCCGTCCCCCTCGTATCAGCCTCAGCCAAAGTCGATATTATCGCACAAGTCACGTTGCTCTAGATACCGAAACAATTATATTAATTGTTCCATTCCTAGAAAGGTTAACTTTAACAATTTGGCTTACTATCGTCTTTTGATTATTTGTTCTTTTGTGATTTAACAATGCACTTTCACTACAATGGCTGTAGTATTTTTTGTTATCTAGTTCTTTGATAAAGTTATGAAACATTTTTTTCGCGAGATATTTGTTGAATAATTAGTAGAGCGAAATTATGATACAAATGTACACTGTCATATTTACATTATGCATATGCCAATTCTAAAGCTGCAGATGGGTTAAGTGGGAATATAAATAAAAAAAACTATGAATGAAATATTAAAACATTTAATGACACTTAATCCTTTTCATTTTTAATGTTCTGTTTTCTATGGCGCAAAATAATAAATACACTTTATAGACAGTAGGAAAATTGTTACTAGTCATGAAATCAACCCGAAAGCATATTTTTAATTCGGGTAAAAAAACCGGAAGGCAGTTGCCAGAAATATTTATTTTGTTGATTAAACTGTAAGCCAATTAATTGCTCCTTAAATGCTCTTCATCCGTAATTGCATGACTATTACTATTAGTTAATTTATAAATAATTTTTACAAGATGTTCTTACAAAAGTTTGGAACCAATTGCCAGCTTTAGATTGTTATGGTGAGTTTCGTGAAGCTTCTTTCCGACCTGGATTGCCATAAGATGTCGATTTTTTAATATATTGCTCACAGTGAATTGGTCTTTTCGTATTGTTTTGTGTCCATTTTAGATTAAGAAAAAAAATGCTCCTACAGTTCTAGCGTTCTACGTTGATTTTTTTATTTTTGTACTATACTCATAATCCGTGTATATTCTTTAGCTGATAGCGAAATGATGCTGCCCTGATTAGTGTGGGCCATCCAAGAAATCGGTTTTAATGATAGCTCGGTAAGAAAAGCGATAAAAAACTGGTTGAAATTTAGCATTTCGCTCTTTCTGAATATTATGAATTTTATTTTCGAAATTAATTTTTTTTCACTTCCACAAATGAATTTATAATATTATGATCTAGTTGTAATAGTATTTATACGATCGATCGATTTAAACTGCTTTAAGAGAAATCGCGATTTTCTATATGACCATATATATGGGAAAAGTGAAAAATATATGAATCGACTACTATGCATGAATATTACTTTAACTACCTGATTAACATTAAAATTTGTAGAAACCTGATAAAGTTTAAAAACAAACCTCGGGCCTAGTTAGGCGCCAAAAGAATTATCAGCCGTGGTTTGACCCTACTTAATAAACAGCAAAACTGGTATACTAATTGATTTGATATACATTTTGTTCTTGTCTATATTGGTTGTGTTTACTGTAATGATTAGAAGAAAGAAGTCTCAGATTTGTTAAGTTGATTTAGTAAATGCGTTTTCTCATTTGTACGCAAATGAGGTAGTTGCTACCTGAACCCCTATGTTAAGGTTTACGATTATTGCAGGGAACATACAGTTTTCATTACGAACAGAAACGAGATTCATTAATGTTTAATAAATTAAATAACTTGAGATTCATTTCCTGGGACGTCTAATGAGTGAGAGTGGGAAATAAAACCGTGAACATGAAACTCGCTAGTTAAACTATAATCTTTTTTGTAATCGCCGGGCGAGGTTCGTTGACCGCACGGAGGCTGGCCACATAGCGGACCTATGCGTGCACCTTTCTTCATTACTGCCCTATACATGTTTACTACTTTCGTTAACCCAGTGTGAATCTTGTTACATTTACAAACAGGGAAGCACATGTTTGTTGATTCTCTTCTTAGGTGGCAAAGCCCACCGGATAATATCGTCGGCTGATGAAGCGAGGTCGATAATTGAGTACGTAATACTATAATACAAGTAAAATATGCACAAATACGCATTCTAGGGCTGAATTTTTATTTATACGAAACATAAAAACAAGTTTTTCTCTTCAGCTTGCTAGATCTTATTGTTCTAACAGTGTAAGTCTGTACTTTTAAAGATAATTTTGAACAGACTGAATGAATACTTCATTAATCTCATATCATTGTTTACATGGTATTCCTTCTATCTTTTTTCTTTTTATAGCGATCCGAAATATTTTAGGGGTCTACGAAATTTTGGTGATTATCAGTTGTCGCTTGTAAAATTTATTTCTGATAAAATTTAAAAAGCATTATCCGTGGGAGAAGAACCTGTTGATAATACCTATTTTTTACAATTATGGAGATAGAGGACCAATAATAAGTGTTCAAAATTCATAATATCTTTATTTAAATAGACGCTTGCGCGTGCTTATGAAACGTCGAATAGTACATAAATAATAAATAAAATCTCTTGAATTAATTCTCAATATTAAAAAGACGAAAACTATTTTGGTTTGGAAGTGATCTTATTTAGATGCCTTCAAGTGAATTATACATATATAACTAAACATTGGGCTGGGCACCGCATTCTCATTACCTTATAACATTTTCATGCTGCTGCCAACCCGACTGCGGAAAGTAATTACACTCCACCTTTGCGGGCGGCCCGTATTTGGCGAATGACTATTGATAGGATATCTGCTATAATCATTTTTAATCCTTACTATATATCCTTACTAATGTTATAAAGGCGAAAGTTTGTATGAATGGATAGATGTTTGTTACTCTTTCACGCAAATACTACTGAATCCTATTTATGTAGTTTTGAAAAGAAGTTATTTCACGTATTTCTCAAATGCTTATCACTGATTACTCCATTTGTTTCAACAAAGCTGTTTATGTATTCAAAGTTTCAAAGTATACGTGCTTTATAAAATTGCCTAGTTGCAACTTTGCATTGTTAGCATTGTTATTATGAAAATTAAGTTTTTATTAAAATTTAGTGTAAATTAAAACGGATTTCAAAGAAGTGAACGTATTGAATCAAAACTTTTATAAAATTGATGCAATTGAGAACTTTAACATTTTCTGTTAGAGACAAACATTGAAAATTTTGTTATTTATAGAACAATTTATTTACTTACATCATCGTTTATTAAGATTTGAACTTTAAACGTTATTTTATTTCCGGTTTAAACGGTAATCTGAGATTAGTGTTTTAAAATTTTAAAAATAAAGAGCAACGGTCTTTCTTCATAAAATAAGAAGTATATCATACATATAGTAACATTTAAACATCTGCAAATTCATAAATTATAATCGGAGTTATATTATTATATTCGTAATTTTGAAATTAAGAAGCTCCCTATGGCCTGGTAAAGCTATTAATACTCAAAGAGCAATGAAAAATACTTGTATACAGTTATCATTTGCATATCTTAAATTTTAATGTAAAAGATTTTTTTCGAGAAATTGTTTAGTGTGTGACTACAATAAAATAACGGTTAGATAAAAAGTATATCGTGAGAGATAAAAGGTAACGAACATGTTTTTTGAGTCACGACAGAATGTTTAAGATTTATAACAGACATTTACGGTCAGTTTTCTATTTTATTCCATTCATATTTTAGTGTGTGTATAAGATTGATAAAATATTTGAAAGTGTACTAAACACAACACTATGTAAGCAGAAATGGGTTGTCCCATCCTGTGCTATACTACTGCTCGAAATTACCACTATGTTTGAATTCAGTCAATTTCCTGACGTTATTTTCCGACGTCATATAATTATACTTATCGTAAAGACGACGTACCTACTGTTAAGAAAGAAAGAAATTTTGTTGTTACAAAAACAAAGTTACTTTACGTAACTTTGTTTGTTTTAAGGTAATTCACTACTGAAAGCAAAGTTAAGCCTAGAATTTTTATTATTATAATTTTTTTTATTACACTAAAAGTGTTTAAATTATCTGATGTAGTTTAAAGATAATAGATTAAAATTAACAATTATTAACAAATTTTTAAACCTTTTAATTTAATGAATTGCACTGTCTATTTTTAGGTGCCTTTATTATTAGTCTATGTCACGAGGCCAGCCAGCCTCCGAGAGCGCCGTCCGTGGCGGCACGGCACTGCCGCGCCGCCGACCCGCCCGCGCTATCCCGCGCGCGCCCCTTCCCTTCTTCCATCCATCAGTCAGTCAGTCACTTGATGATACGCGCAGGGGACGGTTGTATGCCTTGTATCTTCAGCGACATTCACGCGGACAACTGGGTCACGGGATTCAATTTTGTACATTAGGCGGAAAGCTTAATCGTGGTGTATTGTGATTGTTTCTGGTGGTAGTGTTTTATATTTGAGGACAGTGGTTTAACAAGCTAGGCGGCTCTTTTGAAGTATCCGTGATGTGTGCGTGAGCGCAGCGCATGACGTGCTACGAAACGTTGAGAGCTTCGGCACCCGCCGCGGACGCCCCCATGGCGCACCACTTCGTCAAGTGGTGGCGCAACAAGTTTAGAAATGGATATAAAAAATTTAGCAGTGAGTAATATATAATTGTTAAATAGCAAGAAAACAAACAAACTTCTGACCACCGTAGCTTTTCGTTGCTCTACGCCACCTTTGATCAATTTCCGGCTTTGTCGCAGTCTGATTTTCTTTTAATTTACTCTTGATGTTATTTACTTAACTATTAATATTTAATATTATTTTTTTTTATTTGAGTATACGACTCCCATTCATATTTATTATTAAATTATTATTGTCATCGCTATCACAAACAGCCTTGAACTTAGAGCTGTTTACGATTTTGATCTCTATTTACCTATATAAAACTGTTTTGCTACGTATTGCGATCTCCCACAAATATTTTAGACACAGTATTGTCTTAATATTAAACGTCTAATTTTGGAAAAAAATTTAAATAATTTATACAGTATGTCTTATGAATAATACTATTAAAAAGCTGTTAACGAAAATTTGTTTTGTTTTCCTCTAAGCGAATCTTTTGATGAAACTTATTAATTTTTTATATTCCTTTTAGACTGATTGAATTATAATAATTAATATCAATGGGTTTATCTTAATGTTGTTCTCATTTAATTTATTCAATAACAATTTTACTATTCTATTTGATATTTGTAAAATTTGGTAGCTTTTGTTGTTTGTTTATATCACGGCAAAACATCAACGGAGTTAGGCTCCAAATTCAAAAACCTATTTTAATAAGTATATAAAATGAGTTTCATGGTTTGAATCGCAATGTTACACAGTACCTACTTAAATTTATAGTATACACAACAGTGTTACACTGAATTTGTTTGCCATTAACGGACAACTCGTTTATACCCCTTCTAATCTTCAATAGATCCGTTAACTTGTGTTCTGGTCCAATAACCTTCTAATAAAACTACAATGAGATCTTTTGAAGAATGTAAAATAAGTTTTTATGAATAAACAGGTAACATCATCCTATCTTAAAGTTTAGATATTTAGAAGAGGAGATACTTTTAGAAAACGTTGAACAAATTTAATGTATTTTGAGAATTATTATGAATTATAGATTAGAATTTGCCGTTTTCTCGCCGTGTGCTATGTTACTTCGCCATTCCAGTTTTGTTGGTATTGTAATATATATGAACAATATTTTAATGATCTTTTTTACCAAACGTCTATACATTGTATCTCATTAGTTCTATCTTTGCTCTATAATATATATCTATACATTGTATCTCATTAGTTCTATCTTTGCCCTATAATATAATCAAATTAAATCAATAACTTATAAATGTTAAGGGGGGAATTTTTTAGGACGTAACCATATAAATTCAAAATGTTTGGTGCGTAAGTACGCAAAACAATATTCACGATCAGAGAGTATATTCGGCACACAAGCCGGGGCTCCAAATTATATAATTTGCATAAAAAATTGAAACTTCCGCTGTCGAGACGCGTCTACCCATCTAATACTACTTCAAAGTCGACACGGACCGCTTTGATCTCCTTCTATTTAGTTACGATACATACATAAGCTGAACACTTCAATTAGAAGACGATACCTACATTTTTCTTTTTAGAACGTTCACGTACACACGTCAAACCGGCGAAGCAGAGTTTTGTTAATATAGTTTTAGTCGCACACCGTTCCACGCTGCTCATTTGATTAACTTCAAAGAGAAAAGTTGAAAGCCCGTCGCCGAAGCGGAGACAATGATACCTTTTATTTCACATCAAAGACGTCCCCGCCCTTGCTTTAAGCTCTCCTCTAAAGTGCGTATACAGCTGTCTACAATTTATAGTAAGGCGGCGGATACAAAGAAATTTTCGGTGATGCTGGGTTTTTTGTTGCATAATTTAGGGTGCACACCGAGTAGTGTTTTTATTTTTATTTCAATCGGGCAGTTTAAAGTGTCGATGGAAACAAACCTTATTTTTAAGTTTGTATAGCTCTTTTGTTTAATATAGCTTTTGATTATATATTTACGGTTACTTTAATATTTATTACATGTTTATTCAGTTAAGCAATTACAATTATTTAATACTATTTGCTGCAGGCGAATACGTCTGCGTAGAATAGGCTGAAGGCGTAACGTACAGATATACATAAAAATATGTATTTATGTATAAATTATAGCCTATGTCTTATTCTGATGTATAAGCTATATTATTTTAATGTTTCCTCCATTCAGTAGTATTTGCGTGAAAGAGTAACAAACATCATATATATACATACAAACTTTCGCGTTTATATTAATTAAGGATTAATCAATTTATTGTAGACAAATAAAAATAAAATTTGTTAAGTAGCTTTATGCTGTAGATTATAAAAGATTTATTGAATTATTTGCAAACATCAAAAGAATTATTTTCATAATAACTCAGTGCCTGAGCTAATTTAATTATTAGCTTTAATAGGTATCGAGTTCAAATTCTTTTTATAACACGATGTGAAGTAGTACCAACAAAAAAAATACATATACTTTTTTATTATAGTTTTTAGTGAGTGGAGTGAAAGGTTTGTAGTATTTTGTGTAATTATTTTTTATAGTATCGTTGTTGCGATATTAAACCGTAAATTACTGTTGCACGATCACAAGATTGTAAGATATAACAATAACCTCATGCATGATTTTCCGTAAAACAATATAAATAATTTATATTATTAACTCACTAGGCTGTCCTATCTAGCGTCTTATCAGGTGTCCCCGCGAATATCATTGATTTGAATTACATTGCAATACCTTTATAAATTAAAATATAGCTGGTATTTCTCAGAAATAATGTAGCTTTCTTTAGGTGGTACATTGTTTTGACTTTATTATTTACCAAAAAATGTTTATTCTTTACTTGAAGTAATTGTCAAAAGTTGAGTGGGTTAGAGCTTCGAACAAAATTTGATGTTGTTTGAAGCTCCGATCCGCGAAACTCAACCGTATTTTAGATACCAACATACGGTTGAGTAAAGCGATCTTTGTATCCTAAACATGGCGGTTTCTATCTGGAAATTCAAGATCTACAAACTTTCCTTCATTTGTGTAATTATATCTGTGAAAACGACCAAAGTTGGCGTAATATGAGCTAATAATAGACCCGGTGTAAATTACAAGGTATTTAGAACTTAACAAAGGTTACCGGTGCAGAAATTTAAGGCAGTTATATTTTACGGTGACACTACATATATGAGCATTGCCATTTTGTACTGGGTGTTCTTTACAAAGTACTATAATAAAAATATTTTTAAGTACGGGCAGGACCAAAAACATGCACCACGTTTTTGTGACTCCTGCGCATTTATTTGTGCTCTTCAATGTGCGTTGAGAAAACTGCTGTGCTTATTTGACAAATACTTCGTCGAATATGTACATACGATGGTACATATTTCTCAACATGGTGATTTTCTTAAATAATCATGCATAGTTATAGTCGCACTTATTCTACTCAAAAATCTTGTTTAATTACGTGAGATTAAAGTTCATATTTCTGAGAATCTAAAGGGTCTGTTTTAGCAAATATATTGTTTTTTTAATTAAATATATTTTTAGTAACACCTTAACATTCGTTAAAACTTTTAGCGTAAATAAGACCTGGGATTTATAGATATTATAATTTTATAACTATTGTCAGTCCGGATATTATGTATGTACGCCGTGTAGAGTACACTCTGGCCTTGGGAGGATTATTCTCAATTGCTAAGGAGAACATGAGTTGGCACATGGGCTGAACTTTTAATTAAGTTGGGACTGACCATGCTTTCGCAGGCACTCGATCTGGCGATCTCAAACTCGATCAAATCCATTCAAAAACGAGGATGCTGCCGCTGGCTTAGTTTCAACTTAAAACCAGATCGAAACGCGAGTACACAAACTTAAATTTATAGTCACTTATAATATGATATGGAATGAAAAACTACCAATAATTTATTATTGAACGAGCCTATAAGCGGTTTCTTCACAGCTGATGTAATAATAAATAATCAAAACTAACGATGGATCTGACTATTATGTTATTAGAGAAACAAACATTTCGGTCAGTCCGGTGGTAACAACAAAATTTTTGTTACGCCGAAAATTTCAAAAGCACTTAGACACGAATAAAATATCATTATAAGGTGCAGTGTTCGCGTGAATACAAGAAATGAAGATTAGTATATGCTTACTAACTCAAAAACAATACTTAGAATTGCTTCTTAGTGCGGTTTATCTGAAAGAAAATCTGTACCTACTTAACCCAACCGCAAAATACGGTTACTTATTACTGACGTAGTCTTAAGTATGCGTTAATGCCCAGAATGGTATGTCTGGATATTCGAATCAACCAACGGTTTTGTGACTAAAAATATGTGACAGCCACCAATGTCACTATTAATGAATATTACGGTAAAAGCTTTAATTTGGATGCAAATATTATGTTGCCCAAGTGCAGCTCAGTTTAAATTAACTGAAAGGAAATAACAATATCGTGCATAAGACTTGCTTAACAGTTAGGGCCGAGAGAAAACAATTAATCCACAACACTAATCTACTATGTTCACATAAAAGATACCTACCTACTGAGGCGTTTGTGCAACTCATATCAAGTGTCACCGTACCCTCATTATCCGTTGCTCAAGTTACTTATATCACTAAGCATTTGTTTTTTACTCGCGCAGAAGCTCTACACCGCATTATTATTTTATATTATTATTTTGATGACTTTTCACGTTAAAATATCGGAACCTGTTAACTTACATGCTTTGTCTTTATTTATATATTTAGCATGTTACGAGAAAGGCTACAAAGTTTTTCGTTAAAAAGAAACGTATCTTTTCTTCATTCCAAGAAATCATTTCAGCTTCAGTTTGTAATCTGTTAATAGTAAGTCTTTTATTATTTTTTTTTAATGAGAAAAAAAACATTAGCGGCAGATGTGGGATGGCAGGCCTAAGGCATTTAAGCATTGGACCGATCCGCTCTCGGGCCTTCCAGGAAACATCTGAACAACCGCCCAGTGCCGTCTCACTACGCCCGGTCGCTAGCATTACAAAACCTCTTTGTGATTTGCCGCCAGACTGTATTTCTTATAATTCTGTGCGGCGGTGATCGATTTCTTTATATAATGTTTTGTGAAATGTAATTAACTTTGAATAGCAATTACTTTCTGCAATACTCTTTGCAATGACTAATAATACCTTTTTACCATGTGTACTGCTGAAGATAATATTTTTGAACGAAATATCAATGTTCAAACGTAAAAGTTATTATTAATGGATTAATCATTCTCTGCAGAAGGTATTTATAAACAATAAATGTTTCGAACCTATGCATTTCACTCTTTACAGCTGCTCTCTGCAAATAAAATCCTTTCAATTTTTTTTAATACGTTTGATGTTTTCCGCAAAGACTAGTTTTTAGAATAGGTTTTTCCTATTTTAACTTTTTGATTGAAGTTATACTTGTTTTGGCGCGTTTGGAAGAAATATGAGACTAAAATTTTTTACGATGCGCGCGCACACTGACCCTCAAAAGAGAGATGATGAAGTTGGTTGCGAAGCAACGGCATTACCATGGCAACCTATAACAACTTTTTGAGATTTACCAATAATTCAATTTTTATAGTTATTTTATTTTGCATTTAATGTATGCGCTTGATAAGGTTGACCTCTTATGTGCGTATACACACTTACTTTTTTTAAACGTTTGCTTTACAAGGGATATAAAATAACACATTAATTTACAAATTTAGATATGACACTAGCGCACCGAAACTGAGGCGCTCAAATTACGCCAATTGGTGTGATGCTATAGACTGCTATCTCTTTCCGTATCATACGTTCTATATCATCTGTCATATTCACATATGTAATGTAAAACAAAGCAAATTTTATACGCCACGCAGTATGGACATGCGTCATCTATAACTCTATTATTAAACATCATTGCTTGTAGTAATATTTGATAGTCTAATATTAATATGTTTGATGTCTTTTTATTATAAAATATATTTATAGAAGACCATTCGAATATGGATATTTTATAGTTAGAATTCGTACCGCGCGTCGACTATGTTTATTATTATTACTTGTCACCGTAACTTTGAATAACAACCATTGTATTCTAATTAAGTAGATCGCCAATAATTTCCATTTCCCAGAACAAACAACAGAAATAGCTGTTGCAAATTTAAACAAGTTTCAAAACAATCGATGGCATGTTTGTCCTTGCTAAAAGTTTTTTTATAAATAGGTACCTATATATATTTTTTTCATAAAACATTCCGGTTTTTTGTGAAAAATACGAAATGTTTGAAATCTGCCAATAGTAATGTGTCTTGCAAAAGGTAAATAAATGAAAAAATTGTAAGTCTAAGGTCTGATCAGTACTTTTTACAAAAAAATTGACTACATTCCTGATTAATCGTTTGACCTTTCATAATATCCATTCTGTAGGGCCCCAGCGTATAATAATTGTAGTATATATTACTTAACTAAATTAAATAATGGCCACAATGTTATATATATTCCTTAGCGAATTTGTTAAAAGTGATACTTAACTTTCACCATAATTATATCATATTCTGTTTTATCTCGGGCCGTACTGTTTGAGCAAAGTTCAATCTATTTCTAAATCGCATAGTGCTAAATGCATGCAGCAACAATCTATTTCCGTCTCTGCTGGTATGCTCAAAACTTTATCTGTACCACTATGTTATCGTATTACACGTGTTTAAATTATTTATTGATTTACAAATGTCGATGGGCGTCTGTTATTACTTAACATCAGGTGAACCGCAAGCTCGTTTGCCACTTTTGAAGATAAAAAATAAAAATAAAAAGAATTTTGTTTTGAATTCAATCGTTTTTATTGCATATCGTAATATATTATGACTGTTTCAAACTCCAGGGTTATTGGATTGTACGCAGTTCAGAATATTTGTATATGTATTATGCATTGGATCATTATTTATATTCGCAATAATCCTTTCAGTCGGCACCGAGGGTGAGCGCACCGACACTGAAGAGTTGGTGGGGCGAGCGGCGTCGCAGTGCTCCGCCCCGCCGGATCTTCTGCCGAGCGAGGCCCGTGCGTTGCTCCAACCCGTCACGCCACCGCCCGTGCCGGCCAGGGCACATGAACATCCCAGGGTACCGTCACCCCGAGCGGCCGATGTGCAAGACGACAAACAGCCAAGGCTTCGCTTCGAGGTCAGTTGGGCAGGAGAAAATAAACGCTGCATAATAACTTCGCACGTTTGTTGTTATACCGCCCACGTGTAAGGGCGTGTACAGAGTCGCTGTGTGCTATTACAACTGGAACTAATGCTAAAATCTTCTTAGGCGATTGTTGATTGACATTTGTGCCTTCATAGACCGTTGACTACTGGCAGACGGCTGAGCTTATGGATGGACATACGTATATTAGCTGAAATGATGAAAGACACCATACCCTCTTTTTGTGTAGATGGGAATAAAAATAAATAATAAAATAATAGACGGTAGCCCGAGTTAACTTTGATATCAAGATGTGAAACAACTCAGTCTGTCCCATGAACGCTGGAAAGGGTCGGAAATATCTTGAATTAAAAATCAAAATAAACGCGATAAAATCCGTAAAATAGTTTCATTTAATATGTAAAAACAAGAAAACAATATGCGAAATGATGGGATTATTGGCTGGGCAATCAAGGTCTGGTATGCGGACCGTGACATTGGTAGATGTCGACTGTGTTTTGTGTTATCGTTGGCAGGAAGTGTAGTGAACCGTTGAATCTAATGTTGAATTTGTTTCAAGCCTTGCGTAAAAGATAATCACTTTTTGACTTATTGTACATCAAACCATGGGAATAATCGCCTCGTGCAGTTTGAAACTGTTGAAATTATTAAAAATTGTTATTCCTACTAATTTGTTTCTTATGTGTAAAGTTGCCAAACGAGCAGACGGTTCACCTGATCTTAAGTGAATACCGCCCCGCCCATGGACACCTGCTACATCCGAGGGTTACAGATGTGTTGACAAGCTTTTGAATATTGGGTTCCGGCTACCTCAATTACCAGACGAACCGCGAAAGTATTTGTCATATTTCCATTGTCCTTGTAATTTTACGCTGGTCTTCTGTGAGGTCTTGGTACTTACCCGTACGGGCCTGCCCATTCGTGCAACAGCCGCGGCTGCTGCGTGGCCCTACTACCGCAGTAATTTACGATATCTGTAGATACTTGAACGATTGTTTTACTTAATGAAATTATCATAGACCACCAACGTGCAAATACATGTGCGCATTACGTCATAACAGCTATTCTGTTTTTATTTTAATATAGTATCATTATTTACGTTTTACTTGCGATTATATATCAAATTATATTTTAGCCTACGCATTCTTAAGTTAACTGAGAGACGTGTTGATATTATATATTTTTCCTATATTAATCGCACTTCGGTCTCAACCTCACAATCTAATCGGCACTAGTACAAAAAATACGTCAAAAAACTAGCATCTATACGAAATCACGTCGAAAATTACAAACGCGTTTGTAGGTTTAATTATGGTAGCAACATAATCATCATTACCTACTCCTAGGCGACCACCGGGTTCCGTATAGATTTCTTTTATGTGTCTTACAAAGGTGCCGGTCTGCGGCTATGAATATGCATATCGAGCGTCGCGCATAAATGTTTTAATTATCAGTATGCATAAATAAACTTACGGCCGTTTCCTATAGATGTCGAATAACCAGGTTACCAGCCGCCTTTGAAGTACCTATGAATAGTTTTGGGGTGGTTACCTAACCCAATTCGGTATTCTTAAAAATACTTCTATTGGGACGTACCGTTGTATTTTTCTCCCCATTTCGATATCTCTTTAATTATATGAATTTCACTATGAATACGTGTTGTATTCATAAGGAATTTTGTTGGGAAAAAAAAGCATTGTAAAAAATTTCTGTTATGTAGATATTTTCAATATAAAGAATTTGTTAAATAGTTAATAGTTAATATTTGTCACAAAACGCAATTCCATCCAAAGACAATTAACGTAAACGAACGAAAATTACCTAACAGGACTTATATACAGACTATAAAAAGACTTATCCAAGAAATCTTTTTTGGGTAAAAGTAGTTTTCAAATTTGTGCAAAACTATGTAAACAAAACATAATAGTTTGTTTTTTGATATTACATGAACACGATTTTGAAAATATTAAAATGGAAAGTACTGTGGACTGTTTACAGGAGCTGACGTGCGACGTTGAACTGAAGCATCCCGAGCCGTCTAAACAACAGCCGCTTCAGTTCTCCTTCACATTGTACGACCTCGACGGCCACGGTCGCATGACTAAGGATGTAAGTATTAAGTCAACACTTTAAATACAAATTGTATAGGACGTGCGCCGATTAGCAAATTTATTTTTCTTGATGTAGGTACCTACCAAATAATTAATTCTCTTAGAATAAATTAAAATTATTAATATAAAAACGCTTTATATTAATTTAATGCTATTTAATTTCATTGCATGCGACGTTCAAAACAAACTATTTGAACAATCACCTTTACGCATCGATTAAATTGTTTCGTCGTGTTGTTATAATAATACCAGAAACAAAATCCGCAAAAATTATATAATGCATCGAAACGATGCATTATATATAGTTTTTGGTTTAACGAACATTCATAAGTGGGTTAACGTATCGACTAACAATTACAATTCCTTGAAAATCTAGTATATTTATTTGTCACACTGCTGGGCAGAGCTCTTAGTAGCATACAGAAATTCATTCGCATAATTATTTTTATGATTACTCCGTTATGCAAGCTTCCTCGGAGTTTCGCTTGGTAATCACAGTATATAATTTAAAATTCACCGTCTACAGGACATAGCGGGCATAGTGTCAACGATATACGAGTCGATCGGCAAGTCGGTGACAGTTCCGCACTACGGGTCGAAGACCATCCAAGTGCGGCTGACGGTCGTACCCGACGCCGGGAGGGGGCGTAGCGAGCGCGAGAGGCGGGAGGGCAGGCGGCGCCGGGGTCGTGAACAGGGCGCGAGCAACGAATGCGACCATAGCGACGACGAGTTTGGCAGGCTGTCCTTCGACGACGACTCTTCAAAGTCCTCGTGCTCGGAGAAGAGGCCGCAGCGGCCCACGCCCCGGCCCAAGCACCGACCCCCGCGCAGGGAGCACCGCGACCACAAGCACCCCAAGAAACGCTCCGGCAGCCTCCAGAGGCGCGAGCTCCTCGAGATCATCCAGGCCAACATGGAGAAGAACCACCTGAACTTTCAGACCACGAGGTTGGTGTGCCAGAGTGTTGATAATATTGTCGTATTGTTTTCACGCGTCGAGAAGTGTGGAAGGAACAATGTGTCGCAAACATTTCGTAGACAGGCCACGAGCCCAACGCTCCGGTTAACTCTTTTTAACCGATTAACAATTAAAACAAAATCAAATATTAACGCACGTTAAAAATGTATTGAACAACAGAAATGTTTAGCCAACGTATATAAAGTAAAAAATTTAGGTTAAATGCTATACATGTCGAACTGCTGAGCAAAGGCCTCCTCCGTACAAAGGGTATTAGGGCATAGTCAACCACGCGGCCCCTCAGCGGAACGGCGGACTTCGCACATCTTCGAAATATATCTATTTGTTACTATTTCCAAAATACGCAATGCAAAAGCTATGTCATTCATCATTCAATAGTCCCTCCCACTCACACCGTCACTTCCGCAGAAAGCCGAGCGATCCTGTTGCCAGCGAGGAGTCCGCACACAGGCGGCACAAGCACCGCGACCGCTCGCACACGGTGGGGGGGAGGCCGTGCGCGTACCAGCCGCCCGGCAGCCCGGACGCGGCCGGCGGCGACTCCAACCTGTGCCGCTACGACCGCTACCTGCACGCGGTCATATGCTCCTCCGCCCGCCACGCCAACACCGGCTACCACCAGCGGCAGGCGCAGCCGCAGCGGACGAGGGCGCACGCGAACAAACGCTCGCGCTCGCACGACCTCCCCGGCCAGAAGCCCCCGCAGCCGCGCGTGTTGCAGATCATATTTTTATAGACCCAGCCCCCCCCCCCCCCCCTCGCTGCAAAGTTCGGGACGTGAAACGGTTACCAAGTTTGGATGGGAGTACGGTGAAGTGAACGCTCGCGAATCTATCTGCAAGTGGACATGTGCAAACGTAATGGAGAATGTTAGTGCTAAGAAGTGTCAATGACCTGTATCGCATACCGATGAATGTACGCACGTTCATTAAAGTACTGATTTCAGTATTTACTGTACACTGTATTTGATAAGGCCGTGAATCAAATATACACACACAAGAAATGAACCTGTTAGCATCAATTTTATGTATTTAAAAAAAAACTAATTCCGATATTCAATTTTTTTTCTTGGGTTCAATTTTAACTTTTAAGTTGTATATACACCCAAAATTAATGTATACTTACGTGCCCGCCTTAGAAATTATTTTTTGGCATTTATATTTGACATTTTATTAAGTGCCTTAAAACCGCATTATACATTATACCGAAATGTACTCCTAGACTGCAGCTTTTTTTAAAATATAGGATATTCACACAAAATCTGTGCGTAAGTTGTCAAAGCTCAGTAGTTGTATCTATTGAACGTTTTTTTAGAATAGAACTCATATGAGAGTTCATAGACTGATTTTTAGTATGTAAGTTTTAAGTTGCTTAAATAGAACTGTGCAGCCTCATATAAAAATCTAAGTTTGAAAAGTACTTAAACTGTTGAATCTCATTTAACTCATGTTCTCATAATATCCCATCGATTATAATGGGGCAGTGGTATTATTCGCTTTTTATTTTCGCTGTTTTTTACCAACATCAGTATTTGTTATTGTTAGAATTAATTGAATCTCTAAAACTTTTTATCTACCTCTAATTTACTTTATTAGTTCATTAATAATTTATTTCGAAATCTTTTAACTTGTAAGTGAATATATGTAAGAACTTACTGTTTGTGATAATTTCTTAGGTGATTTGAATGATGAATGTTATTGTGGCACTTGTGACACTGAATATTAAATTTTTTTGAGGAATGTAATATACAATTTTAGAATTCCTCTAACTTCAAACCTAATAAAAAAACATTGAATTGTCACAAGTGCAAACAATTATTGATTTAAATTGTACAGTGTACAAAATGCTCGGATCTTGTCAAAAGTATTTATTGTGAAATATAATCAAGAGGTTGAACTCTAGCTTTTCAATTTATTCCTCTTCCTATCTTTCTTCTCATTGATACCAAAATTATAAAACAAATAATCATCACCAATGCTGACAGAGCTATAGTGCTCTCCTTGGGTAATCTGCATTTATTAACACTATATGTATCCGGTGATATGGAAACCTGTAACAAGTGTTAATATTTGTAATATAATAAGCTTAAAGGCTCACTTGTTAAAAACAATAGATCACTAACCAACATAAATTTTGGATCAGGCCTGTTTCTCCATGAAAAGGATGGTACTGAGTATTCCCAGAAATCATTATTCTGTAAGTATTCATGAGTATGATGAAGTAAACATCCGTGATGCGTGTGCCCGCCAAACACTGCTCTAGGTTTAAGCTTGGTCACCAAATACTTCGTTGCTTCCTCGGATAATGAGTCTATTTTAAGACGAAACTTCTTATTTCTCTCTGGCAGAGGTGGTGAATCTGGTTCTGTGCAAACTGCATCCGATAATCGATATAGAGGAAAATGCTAAAATAGGAGAAATATAGCTATGATTCATGATTTGATTTGACATCAAGACCATAATTAATATCCTAAATGTTGTTAGCTGTCCTGAATCTCACCTGCATTATAATTGGTCGTGAATAATTCAGTTTAACAAGTTCATTTTTACATTTGTTGGGATTTTCAGCACAGTTCAATGTATCTAAAACAAATTAACTACAGAAAAAAAAAATTAAGAAAAGGTGTGTTAACTTTTATTTTACGCGAGTGAAGGAAACAAGGGAAAAAATTTCTTTGTAGAAGTCATTTTTCTTTTAAATATATCTAATTATAAAGAATGAATGCTATAGAGCATTGCTTTTCAAACTGGGGGGCGCGCCCCCCTTGTGGGGCGTGACAACATGTAAAGGGGGGCGCAGAGCCGCGGGACAAACGCATACCACCACCCCCCCCCAGTCGGTCAGTATTGTTCGCCTAGTAAACATTATACGTGTTAACGTTAACGCAAAAATAACGTTAAGTTTATACCTTTTGTTTCGTCATGAGTTCGGCAAAAAAACGTAAATATAATGATGATTATATTAAATACGGTTTTGTGGTTATAAAAAAAGGTGATATCGATCATCCGCAGTGTGTTATTTGTTATGAGGTATTGAGCAATGACGCCATGAGACCCTCTCGTCTAGAACGACATTTGTCAACAAAACATAGCAGTTTAAAGGACAAGCCGAAGGAGTTTTTTTCATCAAAATCTGCGAGCTTGAAACGTATGAAATTGGATAGTACGGGATCTTTTGCGAAATCATCCGAGAAAGTGCTTCAAGCTTCTTATGAACTATCGCTTATCATCGCAAAGGCAAAGAAAAGTCATACTATCGGAGAATCACTTATTAAACCTTGCTTGTTAAAAGCAGCTGATATCATTCTGGGACCAGAAATTAAACAAAAATTTTCGCAGATACCCCTCTCTGACAATACTGTCAAACGTCGCATTGATGATATGGCTGAAGATATAAAAAAACAAGTAGTTGAGGCCGTGAAAGAATCAAAATTTTATGCAATACATTTGGATGAGAGTACCGATATAGCACAATGTTGTCAACTTTTAGTTTTCGTTCGATACATTCAAAACGAAACAATAAAAGACGAATTGTTGTTTTCTACAGAATTAACGACTACCACAAAAGCAATTGATATAATGACAGCAGTTTCTGATTTTTTTTCGAAACACGAACTGTCGTGGCAAAAGTTAATGGGTGTTTGCACAGATGGTGCACCGACAATGCTTGGGTCTCGCTCAGGTTTCGTACAATTGGTGAGAGAAAAAAATCCTAATGTTATTGCTGTTCATTGTTTTATACACCGACAAGCCCTGGCGGCCAAGACACTTTAAAATGAATTCAACGCTATTTTAACATTATGCATAAAAATTGTCAATTATGTTAAAAAAAAAGTGCTTTGAATACTAGACTTTTTATGACTCTTTGTGAAGATTTGGGTACAGAACATAAGACTCTGTTATTTCATACTGAGGTGCGCTGGCTCTCAAAAGGAAATATGCTGACTAGGTCATATGAGCTTCGAGATGAAGTTATTCAGTTCTTGGATAATCAAAAACAAAGTGAATTATTTGTAGAATTCAGAAAGCCAAGGGTACAAGTGGTATTTGCTTATTTAACGGATATGTTCGATTCATTAAACTCATTGAACTTAAAACTGCAAGGAGGAGATTCGAATATAATTAATCATCGAGATGCTATCACAGTGTTTACTGAGAAGTTACAATTGTGGAAACGTAAGATTTTAGCAGGCAATTATTCGTGCTTTCCTCAATTATATGCAGTCACAGAGGAAAAATTTTATGGAGGTTTTTTGCGAAACCGGCACTAAGACCGAAATATCCAACCACTTGCAGCACCTCAGTGATGAATTCAAGCGCTACTTCCCAAACTTGTGTGATGACAATATTTATCGATTGGCGACGGATCCTTTTAACGTTGACATAGACGTGCTGCCAGAGCTACTTCAAGAACAAGCTTTAGAAGTAAAAAATGATTCAGCTGCCAAATATGATTTTGAGAAGATGGATAAGCCATTATTTTGGGTAAAATATCTCAAAGTTTATCCCAATATAGCAGAAGAATCACTGAAACTGTTTTTACCATTTTCGAGTACTTATTTATGCGAAAAGGCATTTTCAGCAGTAGTGGTCATAAAAACCAAATACAGAAACAACCTCGATATCACTAGTGATTTACGTTGTGCTCTCTCTTCTATTCAACCCAGAATTGAAAACATTGTTAAAAATATGCAAGCCCATCCATCTCATTGACTGTGACGATTATGTAATTCTTTGTTTTTCTTGTCAGTAATAACAATATTAATAAAAATTTGATTATGTTTTTTTCCACTGTTTATTATTCACTATCCTTTTTATAATTTTAAAACTAGCCTTTTCCCGTGGCATCGCTTGCGTTAATATAGATTATGTCAATCAATTTCTATCTTACGGGAACAATACTTTTTTTTAAAATAAAAGGTACCCTATGTCCTATCCTATACACCCGAAATGTTGAGTAGTTAATGACAGTGTAAAAAACGACACAATCTCACTTTATTAGTTCGTTTGGGATACTTAGCTAGCCCATTGATTTCCCCTTCCTTGCATCGAAATGAAGGGGGGCGTGGGCATTTCTATTTTAAGCAGCAGGGTGGCGTGTAGAAAAATACTTTGGGAACCCCTGTTATAGAGGATGTCAATTGGAGGTTGCAAGTTTTAATTCCGTTTGTATGTATTATTTAACCACTATTTTTCGGGGTTTCAAGTAATTTTTCAAATTACAGTGACACTTCAATGTTAATTCTGGTAATAAAAGAGATTATACCTAAGTTAAAGAATTTTAAGCCGTGATAGCTCAGTGCCCGGACGCTCGCCTTTAATTCAATATACTTGAGTTCGATCCCCGGTGCCGGCACCAATGAAGTTTTTAACTTTAAATGCTGACTTATCATGTGCTCCGCCGTGAAGAAAAACATCGTGAGGAAACCTGCATATTTTCGAAATTATAACAAAAAAAATTTTTCGAAAATATGTGAAGTCCACCAATCCGCAGTGGGGCCGCGTGGTGTACTATGCCCTGATGCCCTGATACCCTCTGTATAGAGGAGGCTTTTGCCCAGCAGTGGGACATGTATAGCCTGTTACTTTAAAGAATTTGTCAAAACAACAACAAAAAATTTATAGATCAATCCACTTTTAGTTTAAGTTAAAGAGAATTACCTGAAATATTGTCAATAGACTTCCTAGCATCAATGCAAAGATTGCATGAATCACCATGCATTGCCATTGAGTTTATGAGTACAAAATGATTGCCTTTTAGTATTAAGTGCTGTACTGAGGGTGCTTGTAGTAACCTGGCGAATCTATGAGCTGAATTTCTTTTAATACTGAAAAAAAAATTTTAAAAATGTTGAGGCAGGTTAAAGTATGCAGTTAATTTTAACTTGTTTTACGGGGAGCTTGCTTATTTTATTCACATTTAAGGGGATCCAACTTATCTCCAACATCTGCATTTTGCTCAACATATTATAGTGCAATAGTTTATTTGAACACCTCTACCACTGCCAATACTTCTTGTGTGATCTGCAAATATTAATTCAATGTACCTACTTATTATTTTAGTTATACTTCTGATGTCTTTTATTTCATGTTTAAGAAAGTCCCATAATACAAAACAAAAACCCTAGGTACTACCACACTGGAATAATTTCATACTAAGGGAAGCAATTACCCCTGCATCACAGAACTAGTAGTCAATAGCAAATCCTCATATAACTTTAGATGCTGCCGGGTGTGGTTTCAATTTCCACTTAAGCCTCCCAATAGTCAACTTCTTGGAGTTGAATAGGAACTATCTGAATATGGGATATTAACTTTTAATGGGAATTAAAAATTTCAAGCACGGTTTGGCATATCTACTATTTAGTATTGTTTATATCATACAAATACAAGTATGCAAAAAAGCTTTGCATACCCTATCATCCCATACAAACATGCTCCGGAACACTGATACCCACAAGTTACAGTAAAGTTATAATTTCACATCTCCATTTCTCTCATCCTTTTCAAAGGCCACTTTATTTAATTTAGTGCATACCCTGTCTGAAAATTTCTGTGCACACCACTGAAAACAAGGACAGTGAAATATAGATTATTGCACTAATTTTTATAGTAATAAAAATGCATACTTATTATGGAAGCCAATATCATGATTCCCAGCTACAACATACATCTTGATATTTTCTGGTAATGCAAATAGTTTGAAGAAACGGTATACATATTCTTGAAATTGAGTTTCATTACTCCATTCACCTTCATCAAATAGATCTCCTGAAAATATTGTAAGCATAATTATAATTTTATTTTAACAATTATTTTATGTTTTTGATGAGTTGGTGGATTAATTGATTATTTATAACCTCAGCAGACACTCAATACCCATTGGGTTGTAGATTACTTGTCAATGTTTAAAAATTTTGCCCACACAAGTAAATAAAACCTGGCTATTACAGATAATATCATATTAATATGTGAAACAATAAATTTGTACCCCTTCTTACGAAAATTGTGCAGATGGAGGAGTATGAAATTTCCCACACTTAGAGTTTATACAGAGAAGGAGAGCAGAATTCTAATATTATTATAATTATGCAATAAAATATATTAAATCAATATAGAAAACATTACACACACTACCATGTATTTGACACAAACACATATACGCTTTTGTTTATTGTATTTGAGAATAGATTAATATTGTTCAAAGTTGTAATTTAAATTAATTATGGTCGAATTTCAACCCCTAGGCGTCCACTAGTAATTAGAAATGATCTAAGCCTAAATTGATCTATGAAGACTTTTGCCTGTTCAGAAACTATGCTATTTTCTAACTATTTAATATTATTCAAGGTGATAATAAACCTTCTTTCTTAATTTTTCATATTGTGACTGGCAATTTGATACATTCTATGAATAATCTGGACAATTGAGGGAAATTGAAACTGTCACTTAATAATCAGTTAGGTAGTGTAATACATTTATAATGTTTTATATGTCTCTAATGACAAAAGCGAAAACTTTCACACAATATATTAAAATCAAATTTACATAGAAAAAAAAAAGGGTTATTTGAGCTGACCTAAAACAAAGACAACATCAGGTTTATGTAACATTGTGATAGCTTGAAAAGCCTGGTGCATTTGAAATTCTCGTCTCCATTTGTCCAGCCAATGACCTCTGTAAGGACCAAGTAAATGTGTGTCAGCAATTATTAACGTTTTAAGGTTGAAGGGCCAATTTGCTTCGTGTAATGATGGCCAGTGGCACTGAAAATTTGTAAGATTATTTGTACAAAATACATTTTATTGAAAAAAAAAAACACTAAATACAAACGCTTAAAATATAAGCGTTTAAGTACCTGTGCTACAATTACATAATAAATAAGAAACTCGCAATAAATGTAAGTAAAAAAAACTCCGAAAAATAGTAAAATAATATTTTTAGTCACTCTTCGCATGTTTATAAAATATATTTTTGGTCTGTTAACAACTGCATTTTTTCACAGATCACTATTTTTTATTAAATGTTTTATCACTATAATCGAATCTAATCATTGGTATTATTATTTTGAGTTAACTCTGCTAAATGTAAGTAGGTATATAAAAGAACTGTACAACTAATTTAATCTATTTCCTGTCAAAATTGATATTTTTTAAAAGTTGCCAGGTGAAATAAAACAAAAAAATATTTCAGCCTCATTTATTTTCAAAACCTTATTAACATTATAACGAATATTGAAATCTTAGAAATATGTTATTTAATTATAACTTGTGACATATTACATAGGCGTTAATAAAATTAATAGTAAAACCTATAGTTAAAGAATGATAACATAAAAAGCACAAGCTTCAAAATTAAAGAAATTAGTTATAATCACATAAAATCACAATTCATTAACGAATGAAGATTTTTTTAAAGTTCAAAAAACAATCTCATTCTTACTTTTCGAATAATACTTACAGGCTAAAAATACATTAGGATATAAAAAAACCTTACAGTAGGATACAAAATACATAAAAATTTTAGTAGTATAACGAGGGTACTAATGATATAGTAACAACCTCTCAGGGCACTTCGCGCCTCCTTACGTATGTCACGATAAACATCTTACGAGCCATTTATAAATTATTTTAATATCATTATCAAACATTTATTTAGTATAAAAGCGCCACATATCATTAATTTGATTAATAATATCATTAATTTGAAAAATGGAATCTTGATCACATTAATTTTTAGAAACAGTTGTCTTATGACATAACAGCTGTCAATTTCATTTTCATTTCATTTGGTACAAAAAATGTTACTAAAAATACATTGTCTTCTCTTCTTACTAAAAAAACATTGTTAGTATATTACAAATAGGCCTGTACAAATAAATATTTGGTGTTTAAAATATTTGGTTAAAATACTTCATGTGATTTTGGTAAATGTACTTTTACGTATTATGGCAGAATCAATTTTCATATGATGGTTAATGAAAAAAATGCGGAGACTTAATTAAGACTTTCCATAAAATTTACTGTTCAACAAAAAAATTAATAAATTAACGTTAATTTTAGCTTTACCAAACAGGTCTATAATGGCGCAGCCTTCATACTGTTTTTGTAAGAGATCCTGTATATCAATATCAATTGACTCCATTTCCACTCCCATAAACTTTCCCTTAACTGTGAACACACCATAATGATCTGTAGGGGTGATATCAAATTGTACATTTTTAAATTGGGACCTTGAAAGGCCATCTATTTCCAACAAAACACCTCTTTCTAATAATTTAGCACCAGTATATTTTACTGTCAATTTTGATTTCAATTTTTGTATATCCTTACCAGATCTTCTTAAGCATGCATGAACACTCCTGTAAAAAACGAAGATTTAAATTCCACATTCCGTCATATTAGATAAATGTCATATTTAATTCCGTCATATTTATGTATGGTAAAACTAAAACCTATCATTCAGAATTAAAATACATAAATTTTAAAATATTCTGTAATCCAAACTTACTTTTTGCCTGTGTGAAGATTAGCTAAACATGACTTTATGTATTGGTCATACGATTTACACTTTTCCTCATAGTACTTCGTTTTTTCTATTAGACTCTGTTTAGTCCTTGTCAGGGTTGCTAAAGCTCTCCTTTGTGCCTGTCTATATTTGCCTTTGTTGCACAAGTCAAGAGCTATCGATGTTACCAACGCCTGGTAACCATCCTCTCGGGTCACGTAACCCTCGTCCTCCAGCATTTGGAGATTTCGTCGCAGCTTCGCGATGTGTTCGCGTAAAGTCATAGCTTCGTCTGGCCTGGCTTGACCGGAATATATACGTTTCTGTACTTTCTCGCTGTACAGCTCCTGTTGTTCCTTGGTGGTACCGATACAGAGGGCTTCTAAGAGGTGTTCACCTGTGTTTTTAATTTTACTTGTAACAATATATCGCATATTGATGACAATAGGATTTAAGCAATGGCGTTTTAGTTTCAGGATTCTATTAAACTGGAAAATGTGCTGTAATGACCGCGTTGCTACGATTCTAGTTCTAAATTTAGAAGCTTAAATGTTCATTATGATGCGCAAATTTATATAAAAATTGCATAAGTTCGTGCCATCGAGAAAGTTTTAGTTTCAGGATTCTATTAAACTAGAAAATGTGCTGTAATGACCGCGTTGCTACGATTCTAGTTCTAAATTTAAAAACATAAATGCTCATTATGATGCGCAAATTTATGTAAAAATTGCATAAGTTCGTACCATCGAGAAATGGAATAATTGCCACACAAAGTTCCTTTGTCTTGATGAATAATTTATTAAGGTCCGTCATGTCGTCAGTAGGCGCTTGAAATTTATTTACGAGTGCCAAACATACTTCCAACCTTGCGTTCTCCTCTGCATCTGCCGCTTGCTGTTTAAACGATATTATTAATAAAGAAATCGTTTGAAAAATAAAAGTGCCTATACATGTGGGCAAAGGCCTCCTCTATACAGAGGGTATCAGGGCATAGTCCACCACGCTTGCCCCACTGCGGATTGGCGGACTTCACATATCTTCGAAATATATATTTTTTTTGTTATTATTTCGAAAATATGCAGGTACGATGTTTTCCTTCACCGCGGAGCACGTGATAAGTCAGCACTTAAAGTTAAAAACTTCATTGGTGCCGGCACCGGGGATCGAAGAAATGCTCGTATATTTTGACACTGAGCTATCACGGCTCTTTACATTTAATTAAAAAAAAAATAATAGGTATATACATACACAATCAAGATCTCGAGACGCAAGCTGTGCTACCGTGGGCACATCACCTAGTTCGTCCAATAAGTCGTTAAGGCGATCATTGGGATCGGGTGCTAAAATATCTTGATATTCCACTAGTAGAGCATGAGTGTCCACGATTTCCTATCACAAAAAAAGCGATGTATGTGTCACACTTTAATTAAAATGGACTCCTACATTTATAAGTAGACACTGCGGAGGGTATCCATTTCACAAGATCCGCAATGGCAGTTGACGAGAGGTGAATGCATTAGTTTTAACCAGTTTGAACACGCTTGTATCAGTTGCATGCGGTTGAATTTATTTAGCATTACCTGAAGTGAAATTTCTTCAAGTGTATTTGAGGAACGTGCGCGAAAGACATCCAAGCGTAAGACTATATTGGTGGCACACAAACTTTGCACATCAAGAGCTTGAGAGATAAAAATGATCATAGGGTCGGGAACCATCCACTCAAAGTGGGTGGCATAAGGAGAAAGGTATTAATAGTCGATTGTTATTCGAAATTAAGGTTCGAATTATGTAAATGAGTTTGTCTAGCACGTTTTGTTCCGGGCAACTTGTAATAGAAGTCGTGGTGCCATATTTGTTTGAATTGCCTTTATGTCAATATAGAGGGGCGCACTCCTGCATGTAAAGCAAGATTGGTCAAGGCTTTGCTGGACTTTTTCGGGACTAGGCAAAGACTAGAGAATGTGGTTAAGAAATGTGTGCGAGTGCGAAATTAACAGGCGTTCTGAATGATCACACAAAATGTTGCAGCCTTGTTAATTATATAAATAACGGCCATGCTCATACAGTTCCAGTATTGGTTTATTAATATTTACAACAATATGTGGAGTTTCATTATTAGGTCTTTTCAATTTAATTTGGTAAAATGAACATATTTAATTGTGTAGTGTAAGAGTTGGCAGCTCCAAGCGCATTTAAATAAGTATTTAAACGACATGTCGTTATACAGCGTGTCCCGTCAATAAATGAACACACATATAGAGGATAACTTTATAAAATTGTATTAAGCATTTACATTCTTTAAACATCAATATTTACTGAGTTATTAAATTTTCCAAAACAAACAATTTTAAAACACCCGTAAACGTATACGTAATATAAAACTGTAACGTAAAGTTCATTTGTAAAGGTCACAAAGCATATGCATGGGTTGAATAAGTTTAAAAGAGACAAAACATACTGTTAGAAGGAGAGGCTTGTAATGCGACGCTGTGGCACGAGTTGTATAGGATGTTACAAATTTTGTTTCTTTTTTACTTAATTAGTTTGTTTGAAAAATATTTCTTTTTAATTATGGATTTGTTTAACGTTAATATTTTTTTAAGATTATTGGCAAGTAGCGTTAGACGTGTGTTCATTTATTGTCGCGATGGTAACGACACGCTGTATACATGTATAATACGAGTTACATCAATAATCACCTGAACTGTTATGTATATATGAGGATGATGAAGAAGGGTCGCTTCCGTGTACTCGTCAACAGCAAAGTATTCTTCAAGAGTCGGTCCCCGGCAACAGCGCCGAAACAATTCCTTCATTTTTTCGTGACATTCCACAATAAACGGATTCAGACAGCGTAGATGGCTTGATTCTTCCCCGAACTAGCACAGTCATACATTGATAGACCTCAAGTTTTGATTTCTTGTATTTTCTCGAATAATGTACATGGAGTAAAGAGTGACAAAATTTACGGGATTTCGTGAGTTTAATTTTAAATTCCCTTGACATGTGTTGACCATGAACGACGAAAAGTGATCGAAACGTCGGGAATTTAAAATAAAACAGGAGAAATTCTGTAAAATTGTTCCATAACCAGACCGCATCACCTATAATTATATTGAAAGAAATATGTACGAATTTATTTTTATTTTTACGGATTATGAATTCTTTTACAGATGTTAACGTCTAAACTACGTGTCATAATAAATGAATAATTGATAGTATGGGGTGACCGTGTAGTGTCGATGCGCATTATTGATATAGTAATAAACTATTTTGCTCTTTTTCCCGGGGCATAATTATCGGTATTGATATAGAAAACTATGGGGCATCGGTAGTGTATAATGTGGTTGTAATTATATGAGTTAATAATAAAATAATAAAATTTAAAGAAAATATGAGTAAAAGTAATAAAATACAATATCGTAGTATACAACAATATACACTATATAATATTAAATACTTATGTAATTAAAATGTAATCCAAAACTGCACTAAAATTCTCGAACCGTTATGATTACACATTATGATTAATTTGTTTTCATCGATAACGGTGTTACGCCCGCGGCTCATTGCCCCAGTCTTTAGTATGATTTATGACCCAGTGTGTACCGTGTGAAAAATATTACTAAAGGGGTTTAAACTGAAGTTAACCACGATAAAATCCGTACATATTGTTTCATTGTGACACTTCACTATTGTTTAAATTTAAAGGAAAGATGATGCACTAGAACAACCAAATGAAATACTAGATGTTGTGTCTGGCTGGTTTGCTACCAATAACTTACTTTGAACTCCAATAAAACAAAATGTATTAGATTTACTCTTTCAAAGTTGTGTCACCAATCAGGAATCTCTGTTGATGAGAAAATCCTACCCCTTGAGGATTCAACAGCATTTCTTGGAATAAGCGTTGACTCCAAGTTGCAATGGGGATTTCATGTAGATAAGTTAGCTTAGATAAGTTAAATTAAGCGCTGCCGTCATTGCCATACGCAAAATCAGGCAGCTAACGAGGAAACAGCTATTAATTCTTATGCTTATTTTCACAGTATAATGTCCTATGGTGTCTTATTTTAAGGTTCCGTATCCGGTTTAGAAACAATATTTGTATTACAAAAGCAGTCTATACGGGCCGTCTATGGCTTGGGTCCACGTGAGTCACTACGGCATATATTTAAGTAAATAAACGTTTTAAGGCGCTGTATGCAGTCAATTTTTAAAAATTTGGGTGGTGAAGTATGAGGAAGCGGAGGAGGGGTTACGCCGCTTAACGGCGCGCAGCGCGCAAGTTTCGCCGACGCGCCGATTTTCTTGGTAGATTCATCAACTTTTATAATAAAATAGGTGACATCCACAAACAACTAAGTATTTCAAACCATTTGTAAAAGCTACCTTAATGGCAAGGGTTTACTATAATGTCCAAGAATACATTGAGGACAAGGATGTTTGGAAATGATTCTTGCTCTGCACTTGCAAGACCCCTGGCTGCTGTTGATTTTATACCTAAATAAGTGTGTATAATTGCATCGACAGAAAGAACAAGACCGCGGAGTTTCTTGCCGGTAGATTTTTTGTTGACGTTCAATAAAAGCTTAAGTTAGGCCTATATTGAATAAATATACTTTGACTTTGACATTTGAAAATGTAATTCTTATCATAAAGTATTATAGACCTTTGCATAAATGGTAAAGAAATTGGTAATTTGTAAAGAAAGTTCTTACCCCTTTCTTCGCCGCTGAAAAATGTAAAATTTTCGCAACCGATGCGAGATTTTTTCTTTGATCCGTCGTCAGTCCTGCGCCGTTTGGCATGTTTATAATGTGAAATGCATCAGGCGCTACTATGGCTGCATTTAAAAATTGGTAATAAACCAGATTCCCAATGACCTAAAAATAAATGAATAAACTAGATGTTAAGGGCTTTGGAAATAGTAAATTTTAAAATTATAGCTTTTACAAACCTTCAGTATGTCTTTCTCTGGGGTGTGAGGAAATTTGGACGTCAACGATCTATGCAACACCCGAGCCATGTAAGTAATACAAAACGGAATCAATTCAGTCGAATTAATGATTTTGTCTAAAAACATGGTGACAACGCTTTTAAGTTGCGTCAGCGCTATTTGTAGTCTCGATTTTACTTCTGGGTAAGTTAAGGCCTCCTCCTGTGTAACAGTGTATGGCAGCTTTCTGAAAAATAAATAAGTCCACCGTTGGTATCCAGTTATCCTTATGTGCAAGTCGATAAATAATGTTTCTTTAAACCAACACAACAATCATATTCGACAAAGAAAACAGAAGATTTTTTTCGACAATATCGTAACTGATGAGTTATTGAAAAAAAAAAAAAAATTTCCACTTTTAATCACATTCCTCCGAAAGATGTGTTAATAAGCTTGTCACCAAAATTATTTAATAAATAGTAATAAAAAACCGATAAATATTCATTATATACAACTTACGAAATTTGGCCGGTTTTCATTTCAGTTTCGTTTCTCCAAGCCTTGTAAATTTCGACAGGACCCGTCTCTATATTCATGTCTTTATCCTTTAGCATCATTTCTACGAGAGGGCCGATGATACTTTGGAGGCTGTTAAGCCCCGACAGCTGTCGTGAGAGGCTTACGGCCATTTTAAGCACTAATGGCGTCGACGCTATAATGTCAAACGGTTTTGTAATTTTGCAACTTATTTCCTCCTCCAATGTGAATCGAAACAATTTTAACAGTAAATATTCATCTCTTGCGTAAGCACCGAAGTTATAAAGGCTCAGGACTACGTTCTGAAGGAAGAAATTCGTCTTATTCTGTGGTATGCAAAACAATAGTTTCGACAAGTACGTGGGGTTGGTTTGTAGCTCGTAGAACAAGTGCTGATAGCCATCGAGCAATCTCTTGCACTCTTTGGTGAGCGATTTCAAACCTTTCACGGCCGTTGACACTGTCATAAGGGAACCTTTCCCTTCGCGGTTTTGAAATACTAGTTTTGTCATCGAGTTATGTTTCACTAGGTTGTTCAGCTTCAAGCCGTGGGCGGCTACCTCCTGAAGGGCGATACGGTTCTGTACCAGTAGTCCTATTTTCAAATCCATATCGTCTATCTGCTTCGACAACTCCTGATTTTTCCGTATCGACTGCACGACCTCCGACTTCAACGTTTGCAGCTCAATTTCTCTATCGTAGTCTTCGGTTGCGAAATCTAGTACAGGAATGAATTTTTTCACAATTTTCAACGGGGGATTAGGTGAGTGGAATAATGATACGAACGCTTGCCGGGCTCGGCGACCTCGCCAAAGAGCCTGTATTTTGATGATTTTTTGTTCCTGAAATACAGAAATCATAAAATAAGATAGATTACCACAAAAAATTACATAATAGTTATTAATGAAAAAAAAAAGGAAAACTACAAATGACCAGAATTTAAGCAAAACCGGTAAAGTAAATTTTATACAAAATAAATATCTTCCTCATTACTGTTAAAATTTAACAGAACCTAATGTGAATCTATCAGTATTTAAAACCGATCAAAGTTATAGTATAAGTAATAAGATAAAAACAATCGACTTAAACGAAGTTATTGCATCATGTTTGATAGTGGTGCGACGATGGGATAATTAAATATTAAGCGTCTTGTAGCAGATCAACAATACGAAACTACACCGTGAAAAATATTAATTTTAATAGAAAATTCAAAAGAACTTCGTAGATGTTACTGTGCATTTTGCTGTGTAAAATATTTGTACCTGCACTTTATACCATGCCCAAGGATTGCGCTTCCTTTCTTGTTTCAGCTGAGACTCAATTGTTTTCATTTTTATTAGAGTTGCGTACTTCTTTTGAACCAAAACCCGCCTCCACCATGCCTGTATTTTAACAATTAAGACTTCATTGTCTCTGTACATTTTCTCTCTTCTTGTTGCTTGTCTCACTAAAAAGCCCCTACAGCGAGCTTGAAATCGTACCATCATTCTTTCAGATCGCCTTTGTCTGTGAGAATTTAATTCGTGTTTGTTTGCTTTTTCAATGATTACACAAACATCCTTTTTGGTTAAATATCTTGGATAAGGAGAAAAATCTTTTGGTGTTGTCCAACTATAATTATATGACTCAATATCTATGTACACTGTATTACCGGCATCAGTGTGACAAACAATCCAAGGACAAATATAGTGACTGCGTTTTTTCAAGGCTTTGGCGAACAACTGAAAATATGTCTCCAAACATTCTTCTTCGATAGATTCCGACACAGAAAGTATAGGACTAGACAGAATGTTCCAAAAGTCATTAATATTATTTTTGAAAATGGCTATATTTAATTGAACTAACGCATCAGTTAGCTGTTTGACTTTTAATGATTCAGAATGTACTTCATTGATTGCCTGCACGATATCTTCGTACCAGAGATTTTGAGATTCTTTCTGGTGTGAGCTTTTCTTTAATACACGCATGCAAAGAGGAAATTCTTCTTTATGCAAAGATACTGGCAATTTTAAGATTGGATTCTTTAATAAGGCGATTAATGTCACTGTATCTTCACCAGTAACCGCTTTATTTATACTGTCAATTAGAACTACCACTAGAAAAGAGAAAAATTCAGTTGAAATAAGATCTACAGCGTGTCGTTACCATCGCGACAATAAATGAACACACGTCTAACGCTACTTGCCAATAATCATAAAAAATATTAACGTTAAACAAAATCCATAATAAAAAAAAAATATTTTTCAAACAAACTAATTAAGTAAAAAAGAAACAAAATTTGTAACATTCTATACAACTCGCGCCACAACGTCGCATTACAAGCCTCTCTTTCTAATAGTATGTTGTCTCTTTTAAATTCATTCAACCCATTCATATGCTTTGTGACCTTTACAAATGAACTTTACGTTACGCTTTTATAGGTAAGGCTGTTCTAAAATTCTTTAATAAATCTGTAAATATTGATGTTTAAAGAATTTAAATGTTTAATACAACTTTAAAAACTTATCCCCTATATGTTTGTTCATTTAATGTCGCGATGGTAACGATTAAACGATTACATGTATAGGTACTTCGAAAGACTAATATACTTACGTTCCTCATTATCGTCATCCTTCATGTTCACCATTTCGATGGCGTCGCGGATATCGTCAAGTGTTAGCAAGGGGCACTCGAACTGTTCCTTGATCTTGACTTGCAACGCGGTCACGAGTGCAGAGAAATAACGACGCCGGCAATGCGGTCGCAAACCTTCCAGGTTAATCTGATGCGAGTTGAGAGAATTCCAAACGGCGGCCTCTTCGCCTCTTTCGACGGCTCGAGAAATGCAAGCGATCGAAGACAAGTACGACACGGAGGCGGCGATTTCGTTCTCGTTGAGATTCCTTTCCAGTTCGCATTTCTCTAACCTCATCTCCTCATATAGCAGGGGCATTGAAAACTTGTCAATTTTCAGATTTAAACCTAGTTTAGGATCTTTCAATGCGGTATACAGATCATCAGGATTACCTACGTCTAATGCATTATTGACAACTCCAATAGCCTTCTTATGATCTTTGTGTTCTAATGATTTTCTATTTCCTTCGTTGATAATGTTTTGGAATATTTTGTGCCAGTTTGCTATGCTTTCCACATCAACGTCTTTGCTACATTCTACAATTTCTTTTACAACATCGCAATAGAAATCTAAATTGTTGTAGTCATAATTATTTATTCTAACCCATTCCTCAGTAAATGTTTTATGCAAACTATTGATATTATTATTTTCGCACGCCGAGCATAATGTTTTCCATAAAAATTTGAAATTCGTAGCAGTTATGTGCCCCTGAATTTCAACCTGCGTTAATATTTCATCAAAATCATCTGCAACGTAACTCTCGTTTAAAGAATGATTATGGGCTACTTGCACCTTCTCATGTTTAGCTAATTTTAATACTTCTTTATATGTTTCAATTAGTTTATTCTGTACATATTTTAGCTTTAGAGCAGGATTCAAAATAGCAGTGGTTATCGATTTTTCTGTTTCCAAAAGATTGTTAAGCTCAATTACTGCATCATTTAATGAGGAATTGCTGTCCACATTATTGTTTGATAATATACCTCCAATTTTTTGAAACTTTGGAAGTGGATGCCGACATTTCTGTAAATCCTTTGAAACCGAATCTAGTTGTTCATCTAAAAAATATGAATTTTAACTGATTTTGAACTACGGAACAAAGCATGAAATAATGTTGAAACAATAAAATTAATGGTATAAAAATACAAATTATAAATGGACTAGCTGTGCCCGCGACTTCGTCCGTGTGGAATTTGAAATAATAAAAATCTAAAATAAAAGTAGCCTGAGTTACACCTTATTACATCAGCTATTTGCCAGTGAAAGTCCCGTCCAAATCTGTCCATCCGTTTTAGGGATTAGCCGTAACAAACAGACAGACAAAAATTGTAAAAAAAATGTTATTTTGGTATGTGTACCGTGTATAAATCCATATGCATTTAGTAAAAAGCGGTTATTTTTAGGATTACAAAAAGACATTCCAATTTTATTTATCTGTATAGATGTATAGATAAAAATTAAATTAACCTAAGGAATTGATTTATTTATTGGAGGCCAGAACTGTGAAAACAATTTTCACTTGTGGTGACTTAAAAAATTATTAATGCCACTATTTCAAATCATTTTCATGTTTAACTTTATTGACTAATTTGTTGTAGATGTACTACAATATTCACATAACTTTTACTAGAATGCAGATGATCAAATGAATGAACAAAAAAGCATTATCACTATTTATTTTGATATTTAAGAAAATAGGAAAGTAAGATTGCTTTGAGAAAGACAACTATTGAAATATAATACTACTAAAGTAAAAGTATTATAACACAAATTACTAAGAAAAACTATTGAAAACAATACATATTATAAATCATAAACAGATTATTCCTTTTCTTTGAATTAAAAGAGACAAAACATTATGTGCAACAGACCTGTAAACACAGCTTTTCCAAACACGTCACGAATAAGTGGAGCTTTTCCTAACTTAAATAAATGGGAACTGAGCGCATGAATACAATATACCACTCTAGGCATATTTTTTTTGTCATAAATATCAGTTGTTTCTGGTTGAAAAGTCTGCAATAATTACATAATTTTATTATAAAACACTGTTATTGATGTCATGGATGCAATCAGAAGTATTTTCTGGCAGAATAATTTTTCAGCATGAAGAGCCGCACAACAGCTCTTGCCGTATAGCATGAATGTTCAGACTCATCCCTAAAAGTACCACAGAAGACCAATGTACAGCATAAGTTCCAATACTTCTTGTATGTAATTATGCATTTTGTCTTCCGAGTGAGGTAAACAGATCCATTCCTTAAAAAGTTTACAAAACTACAACCCCACCTTGAAAATGTTCATGGGAGTAGAAAGTAATAAATGGTAACCACTGGGTGAAAAAAAAAACAGATTTTTCTATAAAGAAATACATCATGACGTGAACATTACATACCACTGGCAGTTCGGTTTTCTTCAAGATTTGCAAAAATTTGTTAATGTTATCAGTGTGTTTAAATTGTAAACCCATCACCTGTAAAGAAATGTATATTCTATTACTTTAATAAGATGGGGTTATTCTTGTTTTTAAATTATTGCTTTGTGTGTAAATATTAGCATAGCCTAAATTATAAAAAACTTATGTGATTCATTAGACAAGTATTAAACAAGTGTGTAAAAGGTCTGGAATTGAAAGGCTTTGAGTTTTAAAGCAATTATCAACTACCTATCTGAGAGATATTTGGATACGATAAGTAATAAACTCGGTCAAGTCATTAATGGCTATTACTATTATTACATTACATACAAATCATAAATAAACTTTATATTACAAAAATTGTACTTAATTTACTAACAAATTGTACCAAATTACTATTACATTAAACAATATACAAAATCTCTATTGAAGTAGTGTTACTTTTTGATGTATTGTTTAATATATAAAATAAACTAAAATATTATACCTTATATCGTCTTTGGTCAATATCATAAATTTTGTTTAGTGGAAGTAATTCAGGCGATATGAAGTTTCCTAATTTTGCTAAATAAACTCCATTGCGTAAACATTCTTCAAACTCTATGGGGTCGGGAAGTTTTTCCTTTAAACATGCTTCCAGCCAAGTTTTGGCCTCTTCTAGTCGACAAAGGTATTCATATGCGATAGTCCTTTGTCTTATTATATCCATTTCTTGGCCAGTTTTGCGAACATCAGCATCGCCTGAAAGAAAAAGATATATATAACAATCTTCTTAACTTACGGGGCTTCATCTGCATTTACATAACAAAATAAAGCTTACTGTCATCTATTTTTCCAATGAGAGTTTCCTCTGCCTCGTTACCCATGTTTGTTAGTATAACAATTTATAGGTATTTTAAGATTCAATTAACATGATGAACATCAATAGTAATAAAATAAAAACAGAGTAAAACATTCACTGAACAATAGTAAACACTGCTCACTTCTTGTTTTAATATAACTCCCAACTGCAAAGCAAACTGCAAACCATTCAAAATAACATTAGTCCGTTAATAATAGACAATTGTTGTGTTCATGTGTTATTACTCGTTCTCTATGACAGATTGATCGGGTAGAAAACACGGAAAAAAGCGTCAGACAAAAAAGTACCATGAGTCCTTCGATTATGGTGCTGATTTAAGCGACTTTGTGGTAAAAGTGCCTAAAGAATTTTTTCGAACAAAGGTATTTTCAGTTGTCAAAATATAAAACGAATAACAATAATTGTAGAAAATATTAAATCATTCCCAAGTACTATAAGTTTAGGAAAATAGATTTTTTGTGTAGTTTACTTAATGATATTATATACAAACAGGAGGTAAATATGACACCAGTGCGCCGAAACTGAGGCCCTGAGGCTCTCAAATTACGGGAATTAGTGTAATTATTCTTATTTTCCGTTCAATTAAAGCGGCCCATTCACTATCCTGCCTGGCAGTCCGCCGTGCAGGACTGCAAACATTTCCTATATTCCAAAGTACTCTGTGACTGCAAAGCAGGATGTAGCCCAAACACTATCCTGCAAGCCGTCCATCATAGTGTCAGTGTTATTGTTGTAATAATTATGGATTTACGTGAAGTGTCGAAAAAAAAAAGAAAATAGCGATTCTGCTATGATTTTTTGTTGTTAGATAAAATTTTTCATTAATAAATAACTTTTCCTCACATTATCATACTAATATACATAAAATTTAAGTAATAATCTAAGCTTTTCTCAAGTTGAACTATTTCAATATAAAAAAGTTTTTAGCTTAGTTTTAGTTATCACATCAGTCGGGCTTCCCGGGATGCACACGTTTTTTTTTTTGTTTAAAATAAAGTACCCAGACCTGTGTAGATTTTTTTCTAACATGTGAATAAAATTTAATTCCTAAAAATATTTCCAACAAATTCCCTGTTACATAATTTCTGTTGTAAGTCTGTACTGTGTAAATTAACGAAAAAAATCCTAATTTAGCATCCGTAGTTTCATATGATATAGCGCAATTTTGCTAAGGGCTTAGTGCGTTTTTTTTTCTTCATATGGCAACACTGCCGCTATGCAGGACGGCCAAACCACTGATTCTCCTGCGGAGCTTGCAGGACCCTTGCGGATGCAAGGCGCGTCCTGTTCGGTGTTGCCAGAAACTGTGACAGGCCTGCAACACCATTCACGATCCTGCATAGAGCGGCGGACTGCCAGGCAGGATAGTGAATGGGCCCCTTAATAGCGAACGTCAAATGCAATACTATAGACTGCTAGGTATTTTTTTTGCATCATACGTTCTATATCATTTGTCACATTCACTTAAAATTTTTAAAGGACAAGCTTCATCTTATCTCTATTAAAACATCATTGAGTTAAGAGTTTACTGACGCGTAATAATAATACGCCGAGGTTCAGGCTAGGCGCTCTGAGTGCCAGGACACCTCAAGTCCGTCGGAAATATAAAGGCCCCTAAGGCCAACAGTAGCTCATCGAACCAAAAAAAATCCATAGGTAAGGGTGAAATCGCAGGACATGCTAACGTCGAAGGTTTGCCTACGAAAAATTAAATCACGAAAACAAGTAATGTAATAAACAATTACCTATCTAACGATAATTAATCACGAGAACACAGGAAGTAATCAATTCATGGAAATAATAAAATTTTGTAAATAAAAGATTCTTGTATCTTGTATTAACTGATGTTTTTGCTTTCAGTCCCGAGACTATTAAAGCTTCATCTGACGTAGAACCGGTGGGCTAGCCAGAACCCACTGGTTTGGGCCCTCCGCCGTGGGTAGGGCCACGCATGTGCTCATGCGTGCGTTTAAGTATGGTGTGCCATCTAAGGGCCATCGAGGTTGCGGTTCGGACCGAAACCCCGATGGCCGTCGACTATGCAATTAGCTAATCGGTGGCTGGGAGCGTTGAGAACCACCCGGAACGCGGGTGTACCTTGTGTACGCGTTGTGTTGGTCTCGCCGTGCTCGGAGGTGAGGTCAACTAGTGTGTTTGTTGTTACTCTAACTGTGGGTGTAGTGTTATCCGGCGGGACCACCGGCGGTGGGTCCGGTAAATAAAAAAAAATTGTACATCCACCTTTTGAAATGCTATTGTGATACATACTGTGGTGAGAAAATAAAGAATTATTATTATTATTAAAAAAAGGTTTCGTAATTTATTGCGCGATTATCAAAACATGCGTACGTTGTTTTGCTCGCTATTAAATAACGATAAAAACACGATGTGATCGATTCAAAAGCGGCCTGGTACACTGCAGGTGCAGTATCGTGTGTACGTTGCTAATCGGAAACCACGCACTCGCCGTCGTGTACACTGAGCCATGTGTGATAAACGTAAAGCAAGAACATAAAGAAAACCAGATCCAGTACTAGAGACTATGAGAACCACTTGTACTATTTTCTCTATTCCGTGATACACCGTGGAATAAGTGCGTAGAGCGGCAAGCTGTCTCCCACTTTGTAAGATACCAGATACTGACGAAATCCCTACGCTTGTGATAAGACATCAATGGTGTAATATAACATAATTAAAGTTTTTTAACTCTAATTTACAGTTCTGCTTCTTCATCATTAACACCGCTCCTTAATTAAATTAGTATTTGTGATTATTTTAATAACCCATTACATAATAAAATCCGGTATACTATTTCATAGTTTCATAGCGCCCAACGTCTTTTCATAATGAAATATTGATAAATTATTACTGAAATATTTGATTAAATTGACCTTTTTTGTGTATTTGGGACGGTTTTAAAAAAAAGTCTCTGTCAGTTTAGTTTCTTTTGTTTGTTACAATACAAGTACTCTCATATATTATATACATATATATTACTTATTCTTTCTGAAAAGAATGAATTTATTAGTGTAAACATATATGTCGTCATGAATTATCATAATTCAAAAGAAAGTTTATCTGATGACATTGAATCGAAATCAAATACAGTATACGTATGCAAATGTTTATGCCCAGTGTCTTCAAACGAAAACATCGTAGTTTCAGCTCACAAGAAACGCCTTTTGAGTACTGTTGAAAGAACTGAAAGTTATTTACGGGAACGGAGGATACCTGAATTAATTAGGTTTCTTTTATCTAAAGTCTTAGCACAACAATCTGATAAGCCGATTTTTTATTTGGAAAAGCTTCTGGACGATTGTATGCTTTTTCGAGCGGGTGTTGGAGCAGCTCCAGTTTTGTTCGAAAACAGGTAATATCCAATATATTGGTAAAAATTTCAAATTTCTTGCTTTTAATGACATAGTTCCGATAGGTGTAAAAAATAAAAAGTAATTTATTAACCCATACAAATTTTTGAATTGAAAATTATTTTTATTTACAACCTATTGCATAAATCAGATTGCACACAGATTTTAATAAAAAATAAGTGACAATATTTTTTTTAAAACAAAAAACCACAAGTCCTAACTTTGGTCTCACGAGGATGGATAGCTAACTCCGTTCTTTTGTGAATATGCAAAATTCAAACTTAAGGGGAGAAAATCATCTCACCCTTTTTATTCTAGACATCTGGAAGCAGTTTTAAAGAGTTTTGACCCAGGACACCGTGGGTGGTTGACCGTAAGTCAAATTCGTCGAATGTATTCTACTTTGGGCCTGTCCGTAAAAGAAGAACTGCAAGGAAATATGCCTTGTGATGAGGTGTTAAAAAACGTTACCGAAGCACAAGAAAATGAATTATTTGATTTGTTATCCGCAGGCATGAATAAACTGTATGTGGCTAATTAAAAATTAAAGAAAATACTTACATATCATTTTTTATATTTACAAAAATTTATTTTCCCCGAAAAGAAAACAACACGTCGAACATAAATTTATAAATATGAATTGTATAAATTTATGTTCGACGCTATAGTTCTTCGATAATTTTTAAAAACTTCTATAGCACATAATATATCATTGGAAATAATATAGAAATTGTTGATTGGTAATCTCAGATTATACATACTCTTTTGATATCAACTCTGACCTATTTGATTTATGTATTGTTTGAATTACTTTAAATTTGGAATGTTAGTTTTATTTGTTCAGACTAAATTTTGTCATATTTGATAGATTCCGTAAAAATCGTTTGAAGATGTAACATGTATAGCTATCTGACGTAACTCCTGTATTTTATATAAATTCAATGATGATTACGTTTGGTCCAAAAATAAGTTCAAAATGTTTAAGTTCAAATAAATAAGTGTCTTTCTGGCTTGAAAGTCATCGCATTAGCCACATCTACCATTCAAGAGAAATACGAGGTGTATATGACACAAGCGCGCCAACCCGAAACTAAGGCATTCAAATTATTACAGAATTTTCTTCAGTTGGGTCCGATTCTATGGCTAGCGTACGTCAAATGCAACTTTATAGAATGCTATCTCTCCGTATCATACGTTATATATCATCTAGCACATTCATTTACTTATATATCTTTATATATATAATACTTCTGTACGTATGAATGTGCTGGACCGATTTTAATGAAATTTTTGTGTGTTCCAAGTGGATACGAGAATGGTTAAGATTCACAAAGTTATTCAAAAAAGTTTCAAATTTTCGAATTTAAGACATATGTACAGGACAACGTCTGTCCGGTCCGCTAGTGTCATAATAATGTAAAGCGGAACAATTTTTAAACGCCCCTCAGTATGGATATGTCATCATTTTTAAAATTTAAGACAACATTGTAACATTTATAACTATGGGACTTATCATTATATTGGGTGATGATCTTTGCGTCATTGTCATTTTACTTTAGACTATTTGCACTAGCCATGCGATATTTTACGTACTAGATGAAGTACGTAAAATATCGCATGGATATTTGTTACTACTTTTTACTAATGTGGTACATATTTGAACACATCAACATTGGAACAAATAAGATGAAGTAGGGCTTAGCTTTTTCACGGATCGGGGTGTCCGAAAAATTTAACGGTTGGGTGTTTTCTTTTGGTGGTAGTCCGAATGAGAGCTAGGACTACCGCGCATTGCGATTTTTTGTCGAGCGAACGGAATACTTCATTTTGGATTGTATCATGTCGGCACTAACATCTTCAGGCTCAAATTAAGACGTGGACGACTATTAAGACGATACAGTAGATTCGGATAACCTAATTGTGCAAGTACATGAGCGTCCAGGGTCCAGCCCATCGACGCTCGCCTTTGCGAGACGATTTTCGGATTATCCTAACTTACTCCGAAGACTCCGTTACAAAACAATTACTGTCACAGTGAAAAGATTTCCAGTAGTTGTCTATTTGAAATATATTAAGAACGAATATTTCAAGCAATTCCGGAAAGTTGTGGTGAAAGCTCCAAAAAGTGATTTCTTATCGTACCTAGTTACTATTTGTCGTATTATAATTGAAATCTATTCTGCTGCCACGCTTACGCCCGGTTTCTGGAGCACTGATCATCGTAGATGTTAACTAATAAGCTGTCAAATGGCTTTACAAATGTCGTATGAGTTGCCAAAAGGATGGTTAAACTCTTTGTATTGATCAATCTGATCATTAAGAAGGTCATTCTGGTCAATTCAGAAAGTTTTACAATACTTTTGGCTACTAAAATGAAATTTGAAAAGCCATTTGACAGCTGATTAGTTGACATATACGATGATCAGTGTTTCAGAAAACGGGCGTTAGAATAATGTCTTAGCGGTAAAATTATTTTGTATCGTCCAAGTGAAATCTTTTATTACGCTTTTAAGACTAATTAATAAATTCTACAACTTATAGTCATACTGTCTATTCATTCCGTCATGAATAATATATTTCTGGTCCGGAAATTCTCAGTTATTATACAAATACGACATAGATATGACACTAGCGCACCGAAACTGAGCCACTCAAATTACACCAATTACGCACTATTCATTTAGTAAAATTACATGACAAATTACAAGGTGGAAATCGCTGTAAAAATTGCAGAAACGTCGACGCGTTAGTCTTATTATTATTTCTGATTGCCATATTTTTTTTTACCTAAAATAATTAATTTATTCACGTCACACATTTGAACGCTCTACACAGAGTAAAAAACGTTTTTGAATCTCAAAATTTAACACCGTTGTAACTAAAATATCGATAAATTTTATTTAAGTACCAACCCAAACTAACTAGAATACAGTGTTAATTAGTGGTAGGCAACGCAATTATTGTTTATAATTCCAAGATATAATGACGTTTATGAGTGCATATTACGTTCGAGACATCTAGTGCGGAGTGGCAGTACTTGTTTGATATTTTTTCTTGTAAGTTTAAAACGAAAAATGTCACAAATATATTGTACCTACGTCATAACGTCATTCATAAAATGAAATCTTACCATCTACGCTTCAAGACGTGTTTTTTAAATTAATGCCAATTACCATTTAAGATTAAATTTTATGTATTTAAGTTAATGCCAATAGCAGCTAATTGACATATGTAGTTCAAAATACGACAGGATTAATAAAGAATAATTTAGAAAACAGTGGAAGCTACGGTGGTAGGACCACGCAACAGTGTTCGCTGTTGCACGAATGTGCAGGTTCGTCCGGGTTAGTACCACGACCTCACAGAAGACCGGCGTAAAGTAGAAGTGTTGCACTTTTGCGTTTCGTCTGGTGAGTGAGGTAGCCGGGGCCCACATTATTAAGAGGTGGCAACGCATCTGTAATCCTACGGGTGTTGCAAATGTCTATGGGCAGGCGGTTATCACTTAACATCAGGTGAACCGCCAGCTCGTTTGCCACTTTCTCACATAAAAAAAAAAAAACTGGTTCTACTTCAACTGTTTTCTCGGTTTTCTCTATTCCGTGTCAAAGTTCTGGTTGGTAACACTGGTCTGGTTGTTATAGTAACAATATTGACATTGACAATTTTTTTACAGATGTCAGTTTTAAGATTACCAGATATATAAAAGTAGAAGTACTCTTCTTTGGTGATTAGTGAATTAGTGATTACCTTACTGATTGCATTATCTTATATCTTACTGATGGTAAAAATTTTAGAGAAGCCATTTATGAAAGAAACAAAATAATAAGATAACAAATATTCCGGATGGTGTTTAGTGTTTGGTGTTCCGTGTTCGATTCGATATTCATGTCATGCTCATTATTTCATTTGAATTTGTGTTCAAAAAGTGTGTTATAAAATGTATGAGACAATATAGCATGTACCTTATTTGTTCCATTTAATCTTAGACGTGCTCATCTGCTTGAGATATTTTGTGTATTTCAAATCTTCATATAAGTACTTAGTTCTTGATAAAATCGTCATGTTCTTTTTTGGCTTATTTATACACGCAACTTTCTTATTTTCCATATTTGATATTTATTTTAAATCGCCTGTGGTGAAAGATGTTATACCTTATGAACCGCATCATAAACCGGTATCTCAAAGACTCATTCTGTTCGTAGTTGACGGTTTAAGAGCGGAGTCTTTTCTCAATTATTCAACAATGCCTTACCTCAGGTTAGTGAATATTGTAATAGAAAAATTAGTCTTTCATGTAACAAAACTTTAGTGAAATATTTTTCTTGACTTGGCAGATCTGTAGCTAATTCACATGGTAGATGGGGAATTTCGCACACAAGAGTTCCTACAGAGTCTCGTCCAGGCCATGTTGCTATTATTGCTGGTTTTTATGAAGACCCATCTGCTGTGGCAAAAGGATGGAAAGAAAATCCTGTTGACTTTGATTCCGTTTTTAACAGAACAGCTTATACCTGGTGTTGGGGCACTTATGATATAGTTGATATTTTTACAAAGGGAACTGTTACTAATCACATTTTTGTTAATAAATTTGATCCATATGAACAGACTTTTAGTGCTGATAAAAATACAACACTTTTAGATGAGTGGGTTTTTCAGAATGTCAAGCAGTTCTTTGAGGATGCCAAAAATAATGTTGATATAAAAAAAAAGTTACAGAGCAATAAAATAGTACTGTTTTTACATTTACTGGGAACAGATACTTCTGGTCATACACATAAGCCTAAAACATTGTAAGTATATTTAAGAAAACTTATTGTTAAACTCAAGATAAATTCTAATTGAATAAGATTAGTTTATAAAAAGGATAAATGGTGCCTATTGTTAGAATAAGTTAGAATTGTTTTACAATTGTATGGGGTATTTGCTAACTGCTTCTACTGCCATTGGCTAACTGTAAGACTAATTGTACTAAATCTATATATTAATATGTGAAGCAAAAACTTTGTTCCCCTTTTACGAAATTTGTGCGGACAGAGGAGTGTGAAATTTCCCACTCTTATAGTTTATATAGAGGAGGAGTGCAGAATGCTAATTTTTTTTAAAAATTTCACATAAAAAGTACATTAAATCTATAAAAAAAAACATTACATGCACTACCATATATAATTAATTATGGTAGAATTTCAACGACTGGGTGACCACTAGTAGTCATGAATTTTTAAATATGTATACACATATATGTTTAAATTAAAGGCATATGGACATGTGAAAATATGGAAAGATATATTTTTATGAATTTACATGTTTCTTACAAGCTAAATACATATTATCTGCAGTTGTCGCAGCTACCTCTGTCATGTTTAAACACAGGGAGGCTTTTCTAAGTGTATCCATTTTTTTAAATTAAATTCTAGACAAATAAAGTTATATGAAAAATGATAAATATTTTAAATCAGTCATTTCAATCAATTTCGTTTGAGTGCATGAACAGTAAAATTTAGGTATATATGAATGACTACCGCATTGTCGACAAGTTCTGTTTTTTAGGGAAAGTTTTGTTTTGTTTTTATTGAAAATCAAGTTCATTTGTATAATAAAGAAATATTTTTCAGAAATTTTCTCACAACAATTAGATATGTTGATGAAAATATTAGAGATATTGAGAATGTGATTAGAGATTATTATGATGATGACGGTAAAACAACATTTCTAATGACTTCTGACCATGGAATGACAGATTGGGGTAATTAGATTTTTTAAACTGTCAATGATAAATTCTTTCAAAGAAAAACACATGTAAATATATTTTATTTTTCCAATGTAGTAAAGTAAATTTATTATCTATCTTTTCTTTGTGTTGTATTATTTTACAGGATCTCATGGTACTGGGGATAATCATGAGACGCAAACCCCTTATGTTTTGTGGGGAGCTGGTGTTCAGCAAGTAAATGGAATAAATTTAGACCCTGAAACAAAAAGTATGTCATTAGAACACAGATATGATATTCAACAGGCTGATTTGGCTCCTTTAATGTCAACATTTCTATCAATTCCAGTTCCAGTAAATTCAATTGTGGGTACTTGGATTTAGTTGTTATTGAAACAACTTTTTTGAAAAAATTATTCAATTTATAATATTTATAATTATTATGAAAAAAAATTTCAGGGTAAACTTCCTCTTGATCTATTGAATATAACATTGCAAGATAAAGCTATGGCTTTGTATAGCAACAGCAGGCAGCTATTGTATCAGTACAATAAAATGAAAATTGATATTGAAGAAAATTCAGTAAGAGCTTTATATAAACCATATGAGCCACTGGACACTAAGAAGTTAAAAGAAATCACTATGCTCTCTGAACAGCTGTTAAATGAAAAGAAATTTGAAGAATTGATTTTGTTAAGTGAGGAAGTTATTAATCTGAGTTTAACCGGATTAATGTACTATCATAACTATTATCAAAAGCCCCTTTTGTTTGCTATTACAATATCGTTTTGTGGCTGGGTAGCATGCTTGTTGCAAATGCTAGTAGAACAAAATATGTATGCCAATGCTGAATTTTCTGATTCTAAAAAATGGAGGTCTTATAAGGCAAACAACCAATTTTGTAATATTGTTAGGATTATATCAACATTATTACTTTTAGTAGCAGTTTATCTTGTCTATGGTGGGTACCAGATAATTCGTAACTGTTATATATCTGTTTTTTAACATCATACAGGATGATTTTTTACATTTAGTACTTAAGTACATATTTTGACATAAAGTTAATTGAGTATCCCATAATTCAAAAAATATTAATATTTTATTTTGACAAGAAATATAACTAGAAAACAATTCAAACATTGTTTGTTTATCCCATTAAGAGTGGTCACCCTATTGACAAGCGGTTTAGTAATTATGCCTTCAGCAAACAGTTTTAGTGCTTTTGAATAGGTTATTGTATTGAGATGGTAAGGCAGGAATTTCTAATAGGGTGTCCATAATGTTTGAAATTAAAAATAAATTCTGCATAATATGCTTTGTTAATATGTCCGTCGTAAATAAAATCATCCTGTATATTAAAGGGAAATTCAATCTGAAATGTTATTTCAGCACAGAAGTTGCCAAGATCATATTATATATATTTTTCAATGCCAATTTTACTATGGACAAAGGTCTTACTCTCTAATAGCATATGGTACAATGGTTTGAGAAAACTGCAACACAATAGAAGTTTGTTGGAGTTGATGATGGAGATAACATGTTATGTTATGGGAAGCTTTGCAATGGTATTATTAACTTTTCACACTAATTGTTTTATATTTTTATTAGAATTTTCTATTAACTTTAATTTTTAGGGATTATCATTTTCTTACAGGTGGGTGTTAAGCTTTCCTTTACTTGGTATGGGAGTTTGGCCCTGGTTTTCATCTTCTACATATCACTTGCCTAAATCTATATTGTCTCTATGGATATCAGGATGCTTATCACTATGCATTTTTTCATTTATTCCTGTAGTGGGCAAAGATGTGTATATTGAATTGATGTAAGTAATCTTTGGAAAAGAATCTTTTTTTTTTTATATTATTGAAGTTTATTAGTATTATTAGTTTTTTTTTATTGATGGGACAATGAATTTTGTGTTTTTCAGTATAATTGCTGGTATGATTTGGCTGATAGTGATGGTATATTTTGCATTGTTTATGAAAATGAAAAATGAAAAGAATGATAACAAAGAGACTATAATTAATGTAGTACAAGCATTAATTTTAGTAACGTCTCTTTACATGATATATATTCAAGCAAAGAGATTTGAAAACAGCATTCCTCTTTCAACGGTCTATCAAACTTTGTGCTGGATATTTTCTGGTATATTATTTTATTTAAACTATTTCACAATGATATTTATTTAACTTTTGTCCTTGACAATATTTTGATAAACTTTTAAATAAATAAAGAATCAACAATCATATAAATTTTACCTACCTTTTGAGGAATTACATTATGTGCTATTCTATTGAGGTCTTCAAAATGCGAAATAATAATTAATGTATTATTCACCCAAGACATAATTGTGCAAGTGAACTTTTTTGATGTAAAAAGTTAGTAGTTACCACTGCCCATGGATATCTACAAAATCTATGCAGATGTGTTGTCAACCATTAGAAAACTGGTGAGTGAAGTAATGGAGTTGGGCCCCCATTACTTCACTCACAAGTTACAAACTAAATGCGTATGTATAGACTTCAATAGAAAGTGTTTAGTTGTGTACCTAAAAGTTAAAACGGGACCCTATTACTAAGACTGCTATCTGACTCCCCTTCTGCCACCAGGCTGTATCTTAGGAACCGTGATAGTTAGACAGTTGAAATTTTCACAGATGATGTATTCTTGTTATCGCTATAACAACAAATAGTGAAAAAAGAATGAAAAAATATTTAAGTGGGGCTCCCATACAACAGACGCGATTTTTTTGCCATTTTTATAGATAATATTGCGGAACCCTTCTTGCGCGACTCGCAATTGGCCGATTTTTATTACCTTTTACGACGAGAGAATGCTATTTAATTAGAATGTCAAGTGTAAGAATGATGTTATGAAATTATAATGGCGAATAAATAATAATTGGTCATTCTTTAACAAATCATGTAAAATTTCATTATCTGAATTCTGTTTACAGGAGTTTTGTTATTATTACCCTTTGCATACTCGAGAAAATTAAGCAGCCGTTTGATGGCTATAAATACGTCAATAGTTAACTTCTATCTGTTATTATCAGTATCGCATGAAGGTCTTTTTGTAGTAACATTAATATTTAATATCACCTGCTGGATGATTATCGAGTTTCAATTACTTAACTCGGGAGATATCCAGGTATGTCATATAGTCATACTTAGCATAGTAGATAGTTATAATATAGATTATTTATAATTTAATATTATAATTTATATACAGCGTGTCTTTACAATCGCGACAATAAATGAACACACATATAGAGTATAACTTTTTAAAATTGTATTAAACATTAACATTCTTTAAACATCAATATTTACAGAGTTATCCAAAACAAAGAATTTAAGAACACCCATACGTATAAAACTGTAACGTAAAGTTTATTTGTAAAGGTCACAAAGCATATGAATGGGTTGAATGAATTTAAAAGAGATAAAACATACTGTTAGAAGAAAAGACTTGTATTGCGACGTTGTGGCAACGAATGAAAACGTCTCTGAATGTATGAATCAGCAGTTGTAGTGGTATACGATGTTACAAATTTTGTTTCTTTTTTACTTAATTAGTTTGAAAAGTATTTTTTTTTAATTATGGATTTTTTTAACGTTAAGATTTTTTAATGATTATTGGCAAGTAGCGTTAGATGTGTGTTCATTCATTGTCGCGATGGTAACGACACGCTGAATACAGGGAGGCTTTTCCTAGTGTATCCATTTTTTTAATTAAATTCTAGACATAAATAATGTTAAAAATGATAAATATTTTAAAACACTTAAGTAATTAATTACTCGTAAGTAATAAATTTACGCAACTCATTTATTTTACGCGAGATAATTCGTAACTAACACGCACACAAGTTCGTTTGTGTGCGTGTCTACCGCGTGACTACCGCGTTGCCAACAAGTTCTGTTTTTTATGGAATATAAAGGTAATTTAAAAAAAAAAGATAAACTGTCCATATTGGTTAAAGCCAAAAATATGCTAAACTATGAGATTCAAAGATAAAGCTGTGCAGGATGAAAACTACTCTCCCTTTTATGTTCCATATATTATATACTAACCTTAATGCTATTTCAGATAACAGATTACTCCTTCGGAAGAGAAAGCGAAGAAATTTCGGAAAGGTTAACATTGATAGAACGGGGCCTTAGCAGTAATGATTTTCGAAGGGCGTTCTTTTTTGTATCCTTTACATCGATAAGAATAGTTGTAAGAATTATTTTGTAATATTCAACAAAAAGAAACAAATACTTCAGTATAACAATAATTTATAACGTTTCAGTTTGGTTTAAGGTTCCCGAAGTTTCGAACACTTTATGGTCCAATAACGAAGTACGGATTTAAAATTAAAATAAAACGCGGTAAAACCCATATTGATTTCTTGTTTATACGCATATTATACATTGTTTGATTCGTAATTGATTCATCAAAATTTTACCTTCCAATAAAATTTGTATTATGTTTCCTAAGACGTCCGAAGTCCAATATGAGAGAGTACATCGTCTGATTTCCGCTGCAGGAAGCAAAATTTTTCATCTTTTCCTAAACCTCGCCTACAGCGCCCTCTATACTCCTTTCTGGAACTATCTCACAGGCAAAGTCAAGCCGCCGTATTTTGTCATTGTTCGGCTCATAATGATGGATGTAGCCCCAGGAAGACATCATCTGGACTTCGGACGTCTTAGAAAACATAATAGAAATTTTATTGGAAGGTAAATTTTTTATATTATGTGTTCCGATTGACGTCCGAAGTCCATTATGAGAGACGTGTTTGTTATCTCCTGGTGGCTTGTATTTGTAATATATAATATTGCTTATTGAATTTACATCGACGTAAATCAAATATTTCCTAATGAAATATTAAGATTTAGGAAGAAAATACTGAGACAGAGATGTCTCAGAAGTTATATCTGTATTAGATGTATTAATAATGTGTTTATGATAGAACTTTCTAAAGGTATGCTCATGTTGCCAGTTACCTTTAGCTAAAATATCATTAATGCGGTAATTTTCTATCCAATTTAAAGATGATACCGCTGCCCTACAACTTCCGGCTGAGGCCTGAATACCAGAATCTGCTAAAATAAGTTTTATCCACCCACCGATCATCGCTGCCGTAGCCGGATTAGTAGGGCCTTTAGTTGCTAAGAATAGATTACTAATATTTCCTCTAGTTTGCTGTGTCATATTCACTAGAGTGCGTAGCCAGTATACTGCATCGATTGATCGGTCAGGAGCAGTCACAAATGTCCAACTTGATAGTTGATATGAAGATGAATCAGTTTTCGTCCCGAATATGGGATGCAAGGCAATAGAGACAATATTGTCAATAAAATGTTCACTGTCAATATGTAAAATAGTAAGGTCATGTACTCTACGACCCGGTGATAACAGCAAAATAGCTGCAGTGTGCCTGGATACTTGATGAACACTATTTAAATCTCTATTGTAACTCTGAGGTGCAGGTTTAGCCCAGGAAATAGCTTTTAGTACATGTTTCACTATTGGGCACGACGCTATTTTTATTTCCGATATAGTTTCGCAAACGGATGCTATAACCGATTTATGAACTAGAATGGTTTGCTAGGAGAGACCATGAGATAATTACAAGCTTTTCTCGTGCGATGTCCATGTCCCTGTCAGCGTGTCCCACCCGAAATGAGCTCCCAGGTTTAAATTGCAGACTGGTGCTCAGATCTCTGAGTTTCACAGGTCGTTTGAGAGCCCGTGTTTTCAGGTCTGGCCTCCAAAAAGGCTTCTTCCACTTGGGTGCCACTAGTATGTACCGACATGAGGCTGAGTTGAGGTGGCCTATCACCCTGGGTATCAGACTGGGTGGAGGTAACAACCATGCCAGTCGGTAGTGCCAAGATCTGCTGAACGCGTCGTGGAAGCAGGCGTTCGAGTCTAGAGTAACATAGTTTGCTACCACGTGAGCGGTCCGAGACGCGAACAAGTCTATGTCTGGTGTCCCCCAGAACAAAACTGAACAGCCTCGTGGTTGCTTTTTTCTGTGAGATGCCACTCGGAGCCGGCGCGATTGCGCGAGAGGTGATCGGCTTCGAGGTTGTACAGTCCCGGTAGGTGGTGAGGGAGAAGTACAACATTGAGGTGGTCTGTTAGGGCCAGTAGTTTTTGAGTCAGATATAGCAAATGTCGTGACCGGGTTCCTCCCGCGTTCTATGTAGGAAACTACTGTTTTGTTGTCGGTCTGAAGAATGACTGTCCAGTCTTGGAACAACATGGCTCTGGAGGATATGGCGGCTATCACTGCAAACATCTCCTTCAAATTGCAGTGCCATTTTCTCTGGTGGTGTTCCCATGACCCTTTCACCATTTCGTTATTTACAAGGGCTCCCCATTGAATGTCCGACGCGTCGGTGATAACGTGACCATTCTCTGAGTGACCACCACTCCAGCTCTGTACGTACCTCGTGCGGATACTGCTTTTGTGAGTGAGGATACTTACTGATCTTGTTGCTGTGGTACTGCAGGACTCGGCAATGCAACCTTCCCCGGTGGGTGATGAAGGTCGCAAAGTTGAGGTGTTCTAAGAGGCATTGCGCCTGCGTTAGGTTTCAACTGCCGGCGGCAAGTCGCACGAGCAAAATTATGACGAATTTTTTGAAATTTGTCCAATGGCAGGGACTTGCTGTTGGATTTGGTGTCCCATACGATTCCCAGAAAGTTTATTAATCTCGTCGGTGTCATAACCTATTTTTCCATGTTGACCCAACAACCTAAGCTGCGCAGAAAACATATGGCCATCTTTACTTGAGCTTCCAAAACGTCTCTGTCCTGGTGTACCGGCAGATAATCGTCTAGATAGACCACTAGTCTCAGACCGTTCTTGCGAAGTATTTCGGCACTTCAGTTTGTTACTGAAGCAAAAATCCTCGGTACTGCAGCTAAACCGAATGGCAGACAAGTCATCTGAAGTAAATGACCCTGATAACTGATCCGGAGAATCCTTCTGTGCTGCTTTTTTATCGGAAGATGATAGTAGGCCTGGCTTAAATCCAGTTTGACCATCCAATCTCCCTGTTGTAAGAACTTGGGCACTTGGTGATGGTGGAAAAGATGAAAATGTGTCGGTTTCGTGTATTGATTCAACGCCTTGAGATTGAATTGGTCCCGGGAATTATTAAAAGCGGAGATATGAAAAACGGTGTCAGGGGAGCGGGTTCTAAAACTCTCAATTGACTTAAATTCTGAATCTTAATCGACATTATTAATATTACGTTGTAATTTAATATTACGTTGGATGCATTGAAGCGACTCCATTTGTTTCGATAGAATCCTAGACACCGGCCTGAAAATCCGGTAGTCATTTATTTTTATTTCCTGACTTTCTTCCAGTTCTGTACTTGCGTACCCCTCCCCCCGTTTTCTTTGCCGAGGAGTTATTTGGACAGAAATGCTCTCCGTTTTCGACCTGTTTAATTTTATTGGAATTTGGCCTAGCTCGAAATGGCTTTCCATTGGCAGTTGAAGTCGAAGGTTCCGGCGATTTGGACCGAGTGGAGGTACCAGATAGTATCTGCTTTTGTAATTTATCTATACCACCAATTTTTTGTATATGTGCAGTTTGTAATCCGGGGTTAAACATATAATCACAAGAAGCTCGCTTACCGCAAATTATATATGTTTAGTTTTGTCTACACGTGTGTGAATTACTTTAGGTACAGTAGGTTCTTCTACAGAAACACTCAAATCTACAAAACTATCCACCTGGCGGACGTAAAAACTGTTCGTCAATCGTTGTCGATTTTTGAATGGATGTTGAAACTAGATTGGAACACTTTATTTATAGGTTGTTGTGGTATCTGTAAGTGTGCGAGCGTTGCCGCCGGTTCACGACCAGTAATAGCATAATTCGAAGCTAAAATATTATTCACATGACTCACCAATTGTTCACCAACAATAAATCAAACCTTTTATCCAGATCCCGCGACCAGTCACGCTTTCGGAGTTTCATTGGTGGTTCTTCGTCTCTATATTCCGACGTATCCTTGAAATATTTTCTTTAGGCGCGATAACCTCGTTACTCATTATTAAGCGTTTGAGGTATTAAGAAACGTAAGACAAACAACGCTTCTGTGCAATTAACCAACTTTTTACTTTAAGTCTCAAAAGTTGATTATAACAACTAATAAAAGTATTAAAGTAACTTTTTACGACTGCACTGGTTGAAAAACAACGCAACAATGACAAAATACGGCGGCTTGTCATTGCTTGTGAGTTAGTTCCAGAAAGGAGTATAGAGGGCGCTGTAGGCGCCGTTTAGGAAACTGAAGTAAAAAAATTTTGCGACCTGCAGCGGAAATAAGACGATGTACTCTCTCATAATGGACTTCGGACGTCAATCGGAACACATAATATACTAAAATAATTTAATTTAACAACGATACATATTACTATGGCAATCGCGTAAATACAAGAAATAATTTAATTTAACAACGATACATATTACCATGGCAATCGCGTAAATACAAGAAATAATTATGTACTGAATAATATGATTTTCTTTTCATTCTTAAAAAGACGTTATCCATACTATATGGCAATCCTGAAGGGAAGAGTCGTTTTTACAAAACCAAATAGTACACGCACATACTACATACTTAAACTGACCACTTTTTCTAACTCAAAACGGGACATTGATTTACAATGAAAATAAACATTACTTTTTATTTTATTTTTATTCCGAAAAGATTAAAAATTAAAAGATACAAAAAAAGTCATCAGTTCACTATTTTTTATTAAAACAACATTGTTATGTTTTTAAATATTTTTAAATTTCTCAGAGGAACATTTTTTTTTAATAAAGTATAACCGGGAATAATCGATCGCGGTTCCGCGCTGCTCATGATCACGTCTGACGAGCGTGGTTTTAAAACTCCGCGCTGTTTCGAAAAACGGGACAATTTTGTGTCCCGAAGATTTGTTCAGGGACAAAGGGAAGGACAAAACGGGACGTATGGTCAGTTTATACATACTACACACACCAGCGTCCAGTATATCTGAAACATTATCCATAGAACGTTCAAATACTTGAAGAGTTATCATCAAATATTAGAGTAATAATATAATGACAACGTTATATAATTTGCCACACATCATATTTCTTTGATTGTTTATGGTTTTGAGTGTTATGCATTATTGACTCAGCTTAAATAAAACGACAACGTACGAAGTGCGTGCTTAAATTTTAAATTCGTAGCTCAACCTTTAACTGCCTTTAAGTATTTTATCTGCAATATAAACAGTTATTCTTTATTGTAAATAAAAAGTTGAAAAACTGAATACATTTAAATTATATTTATATTTGTCGCTGATAGTAATATTAGTATCTTTAAAAATTAGTTTGAAGCTATACTGAATTCACTTTGCCGTGGGATAATACAGAGGCTTAGGGATATCAGCGGTATTCTAGATTTAGACTTTTCTGAGATTATACAGGTAGCTTTTTGATTTATTTCCTGAACAACCACATTCAGACATCATATATTATTTTAGCGTTCTTCGGCACAGGCAACATTGCTTCATTAAATTCATTCGAAGTCAGATGGGTCATGTGTTTTACTACTTCGTATAAACCATTCGTTATTACTGCTCTTATATTGTTAAAAACCTTGGCGCCTTTTTTATGCGTCGGTTGTACGTTCAGGGCCGTTCAACATGTCACAAAGGTAAAACAACTTGTTTTATACTTTTAGTTAATTAATTATAGTATAATATAAAACTATTTAAGTGCAAACTATAGAATAAAACCTGTATAAATACCGTAGATAAAAATGCTATAATAGCATAGGACTTCTTAAAAAAAAGACATAATTGAGACATTTTTCCTAAACGCTGTGAATGGATTCGTGCAATAACCGGCTTATATTTTTATATGAACAGTTTGTGATTAGAGAATGCTCTTGCGTTAGACACGACACGACTCAGTAGTCAATACGTACTCGTAAATACAATCCTCCGATAAAACATTTGTATTTACGACAGTACATATACATTTTAGTATTAGCTCCACGCGATAATATTAAGTCGTTGTTTTATTTTAAACCGGGTACTAAAACAAGCTAAAGTCATCAACTAACACAATTTGAAATTTTATTTTTCAGGCACCGGCAGGTTACTTAAATGTTATTGTCCTTATATATTCTAATTTAATGGGAATACAGCTGCTGTACAATGTGAAAAACACCGGGAGCTGGTTAGAAATCGGCTCATCAATATCGCAATTTGTTATTGTTCAAGTTATTACATTATTCATCGTTATAATTAATCAAATTGCTAAAATTCTAACTGAGACAGATGCATACAGATTAACTGAAAGTATTTTGAAAAATAGGAAGAAATATGTGTAAATTGTTTTTATTTATATTTGGTGATACAAAATAAAATGTTTTTCAAAAGATTTTATTATTCGTTAAATTGTAAAAGATTAAAATGGTTATAAATATTAGAATTTACTAATCGTGGTACACCGACAAATTTATTGCCGTTAAAAGGTATAAAGAGTTTATTATACCATATGACATAAAAAATACACGTGACTAGATGACACAACATAGGTTTCTACAATAACCATCAAGCAATTGAATTACAATGCGTGTCTAAGTATTAAAAGCTACCTGCTTATAAAGGCTTAAGTAAAATTTAGCAGCTTGCTGATACAGAGTTGACGAATCGCTGTATGAAATAATTTAATACATTAAAATTAATTCGAACGCCACCGCGGCGTTGTTTCGGTTCTCATCCAAATCCACACGTTGAACAGAGAGCGGTGAGGCGCGTTGCTAGATGGACCTATGCCGCTTGTCCTCCGCTCACCGTTACGAAATATGTTCCATATTTATTTATTTTGAAGAGTTATAATTTTATTCGATCTTTCCAAAACACGAAACTAAAAAATACAGCGTGTCGTTACCATCGCTACAATAAATGAACACACGTCTAACGCTACTTGCCAATAATCATAAGAAAATATTAACGTTAAACAAAATCCATAATTAAAAAAAATATTTTTCAAACAAACTTATTAAGTAAAAAAGAAACATAATTTGTAACACCTATCAACTCGCGCCACAGCGTCGCATTACAAGCCTCTCCTTCTAACAGTATGTTTTGTCTCTTTTCAATTCATTCAACCCATTCATATGCTTTGTGACCTTTACAAATGAACTTTACGTTACGCTTTTATAGGTAAGGCTGTCCTAAAATTCTTTGTTTTGGAAAATTTTATAACTCTGTAAATATTGATGTTTAAAGAATTTAAATGTTTAATAAAACTTTAAAAAGTTATACCCTATATGTGTGTTCATTTATTGTCTCGATGGTAACGACACGCTGTATATAATACGTGAAATATTTCGTATTTTTAATTATTTGTATGTATTAACAACTAAAGCGTAATTTCAATATATTATCTTGTGATTGATAAGTTTTATCAGTCCTATACATACAGTGAACCATCATTCTATAGGGATCGGGTTCAAATTCCCTACATTTCTTTGTTATATTTTTTGGTGATTTTCTTTTTGTAAATATTTTTTTATTTACCATTTAATTTTTGTTGATTTTTTATTTTTATAAATAATTACAACAGAATATTATTGTATTTTTTGAATGTAGAATGCAACAGTTGGAGAACAATCTATCAGAATCTGATCTGATAATGTTGACGCGCTAAGCGCCTGACAAAATTATACCATACGCAGTTGCTGTTCTTATGTATTTGCCTGTATGCTTTGTTATGTACAACCACCGTCATTTTAATTTTTTGTTAGTTAGCTTCTGGTCATTACACGGTTATAATATCTGAGAACAAGAAGTTTTAATTTCTCCTTAATTTCAAAAGTATTCATGGTCAGCTTCGAGCCGGATTTAGCGGCTACTTATTATTTACTTCGGGAAATATCAAACTAAATAATATATACGAAATTGAAGATTTTTCGAAGAAATACTGCAAACGTCCGGGGTCACCTTGAAGACAAAGACAAAGGACATATAAGGAAGAAGAATAAAAATCAGTGCAGTGTTTTCTTTAGTATTTCGTTTTTATTTAGTAATAACTTTTTAACAATTGTTTTAATTTTCAGGTATTATTCTTTAATTCTATCCTGTATTCCAAAATGACCGAAGAGAGGGAATTAATTAAAAAACGGGCAAGTTTCAAAGGACGGTTAACGGCTTTCAATAATTATCTCAATGAATTAAAGGGTTTATTAAGCACATCTCAGGTTAGCGAATTGCAATTGCGCGTAAGTAAAATTGAATTATTATACGAACAATACGATGAGGTTCAATTAAAGTTAGAATGTCTGGTAGACGACATTAATAGTCAATTAAATGAACGCAATGATTTTGAATCATTATATTATAAAATTCTCGCGAAAGCTCGAGGTCTTATTCGCCAAAATATTAACTCCAATACTGAGTGCGCTAGTGAAAAGGAGTTTTCATGTAACAATAATAATAGTCTTGTTAAGTTGCCTACCATACAGCTGCCTAAATTTAGCGGGTCGTATAACAATTGGTTAGAATTTCATGACACCTTTTCTAGCCTAATACATTCAAATAGCGCTATTGATGACATCAATAAGTTTCATTATCTTCGCGCGTCGCTCGAAGGGACAGCCGCCGTGGTTATCCAATCCATAGAATTTTCAGCGAGTAATTATGCTGTGGCTTGGAATTTATTATGTGGACGTTTTAATAATAAACGTCTTTTAATTCAAAATCACGTTACGGCATTATTTAACATTGAGGTCATTACAAAAGAATCGTCATTTATTCTAAAGCGCATGATTGACTCTTTAAATAAAAATCTAAGGGCACTCGAGTCGTTAGGTGAGCCTATAAATTATTGGGACACTTTATTAATTTTTATAATTACGCAAAAATTACATAGCAAAACTTACCGTGAGTGGGAAGAATATAAAGGTCGCTTAGATAATAATAAAACCATTTCCTTTACGTCATTTTTAACATTTTTACAAAATCGCGCCGACCTATTAGGAACACTGGAACTTTCTCGAAATTCCCAAATTAATCAAAATAAAAATAATACTAAAATTAAAAGCATGGTGTCAGTCACTGACAATCAGACACGGTTAAGCGGGAATAGCGAGGCGTCTCAGTCCAAATCTTGTCCAAATTGCAAGGGGTGATCACAGTCTGAACAATTGTTCAAAGTTTTTAGGGCTTACCTGTGAACAACGGTTCGAATTAATGTCACAATTTAAGGTCTGTCATAATTGTTTACGTTCCGGTCATTATGCGAACCGTTGCAAGTAGGTTGGTTGTAAAATATGTAAAAGAAAGCACAACACTTTGATTCACATTTCAATCTTCCTTCCCACTCAGAGGACCGTCCCGTCTCCCTCCCTGGTACGTCATGCGACTATAACGGTAAAAATAATGTAACATTATCGGCGCAAGCTTCTACTTATCTAGAAAATAAATCTCAGGTACTTTTATCTACTGCCCTTTTAAAGATTTACGATAAAAACAATAAGGAATACTTAGCTCGGGCCATTCTTGACAGTGGAAGCACTTCTTGTTTAATAACAGAAAGATTAAGTAAATTATTAAATTTAACTACAGTCAACGTCAACGAGTCTTTATTAGGAATTAATAATTCTAAGTCACACATAGGCAAAATGTGCTGCGTACCTATAAAATCGTTGAACGAAAACTTCACTACTAATCTATTCTGTTTTATTATACCCCATATAACTGACGAAGTACCTAGTCAGCAAATTAATTTAAACAATTTTAATTTACCAAGTAACCTATGTTTAGCTGATCCCTACTTCCACACACCATCTTCGGTGGATTTAATTATTGGTGCGGATGTTTTTTGGGACCTACTAGGTGTACGTAAAATTAATTTAGGAAATGGAATGCCGGTACTTTTTGAATCTAGATTAGGATGGCTAGTTTCTGGCCCTTTAATTAAAAGCGGTCATGTACCTCATTCGATTTCCAATAAGTCGTTTTTTACAAATGGAAATTTTAATGACAATGTCTCTTTGCACATTAATAGTTATGATGATATTCAAAACCTATTAATGCGTTTTTGGCACCTTGAGGAGGTTCGCCATCAATCATCAGTTTTCTCAGAGGAAGAGAAAATGTGTGAAGAGCATTTTATCAAAAAAAAACACAACGCGTCTACCAGACGGCCGTTTCTGTGTTAAAATACCACTGAAACAGTCGTGTGATATTTTAGGCAGTTCGCTACCACACCATGGAGTTATTCGCGAAAGCAGCTTAACGCAGTCCAACTACTTCAGGTGTTTCTTTAACGCGCTAAACATTGTCTTCTTTCGCTTGAAAGACGATTACATCCTGATGACAGACATCTCCAACGAATAATTTGGAGAGATGATCCATCAGAGCCCATGAAAGCATACCAGTTAAACAGGGTTACGTATGGTACAGCCAGCGCACCTTATCTCGCCACGAGATGTCTTAAACAAATAGGCATGGATTGCAAGGAAAAGAAAATTTCCGAAATAATTATCCATGACTTTTATGTTGATGATTTACTAACTGGTGGGGATAGCATCCAAGATGTGCTGGATATACGTCATAAGGTGTCTACTGAGCTTAACTCAGCGGGTATGAATCTCCGTAAATGGAAATCAAATGAGCCTCGGATTATATGTTATAATAATAATTCATCACTCGACTTAAATATAGGTTCTATGGAACCCTGTAAAACATTAGGTCTTAGTTGGCTTATCGAGTCTGATGAACTATATTTTTCATTGAATAAAATTGTTTTAAATAACTTAACAAAACGTGGAATACTTTCTGTAATATCACAAATATTTGATCCTCTAGGTCTTTTAACGCCATGCATAATTCCCATGAAAATATTAATGCAAAGGCTATGGTTACTTAAACTGACATGGGACGACCCGTTGCACTCTGAAATAATAAAACCGTGGATAAGAATTGTAGAAAGTTTATCGCTTATCAATAACGTACGCATTCCACGCCATGTTATTTGTAATCAATATAATTATATAGACTTACATATATTTAGTGACGCGTCCCAAGGAGCATACGGTGCATGTTTATATATCCGGAGCGCGAGCAATAATAATGTGTTGGTGCATTTACTTTCAGCTAAAAGCCGTGTGGCCCCCATAAAGCCCACCACAATACCACGTCTCGAGCTCTGCGCTGCTATTGTCGGAGTTCGTCTATATGAGAAAGTATTGAGTTCACTTCGAATTCAAGTAAGATCAGTCACTTTCTGGTCAGACTCCACAATCGTTTTAGGCTGGTTAAAAATTATACCTAACAAATTACAACCGTTTGTTCGCAACCGTGTGGCCGAAATTTGGAAAAAACTAGTTCATGTAATTGGAGGCATATTCCCACTGATCAAAACCCGGCCGATTATGTTTCTCGCGGTACGAATATTAGTGAAATTAAAGCTCTTGATTTGTGGTGGTCTGGACCACAATTTTTAAAATGCGATATTTCTAGTTGGCCTAGTAATCCTATTTTAAGTGAAAAATTACCAGAAACTCGTCACGAAGTTTCTTTAATTAGCACTAACAGAGAAAAAATACTTGACTTTGAGCGTTTCTCAAATTTTAATAGATTACAACGTTGTATGGCTTATGTTTTGAGATTTGTTAATATTTGTAAAAAACGGCCACCACAAACTAAATTTCTAAGTAACGATGAACTACAACATTCGCTGAATACCTTAATAAAATTGTCACAAATGGAGTCATTCAACGAATATAACATTTTATTGCATAATAAGAAATTACCTTCAAAATGTGATCTCTTAAAATTATATCCTTTCATAGACGAAAATAAAATAATGCGGGTCGGCGGTCGCTTAGGAAATTCATTATTCTCTTATGAAAAGAAACATCCGATTATTTTACAGTCCACTCATCGTTTCACAAAGTTACTTTTCAAACATGTTCATATCAAACTTATGCACGCCGGTCCCCGTTTACTACTAGCTTCAATAAGAGACATGTATTGGCCAATCGGAGGCCTCAACTTAGCTAAACATTGCTATCGGCAATGCTATTTATGTTGCCGTTATAAGGGAAAGGTTATTAACCCTCTAATGGGTAATCTGCCTCAGTCCAGAGTAACTCCCGGTGGCTATCCTTTCGAGAGCGTTGGCGTCGACTATGCTGGTCCGATAATGTCCGCTAGTCGTCAGGGTCGAGGTTGTAGGCTAATCAAGGTGTATATTCTCATTTTCGTTTGTTTTACGACCAAAGCTGTACACATCGAATTGACAGGCGATCTTACAAGTGACAATTATTTATCAGCACTTCGTCGATTTATGTCACGTCGGGGGAAACCTAAGCATATATATTCAGATAATGGAACCTCATTTGTAGGCGCGTATAATGAAATCGGTCGTTTTATTAAAGGCAATTGCGATTCACTAGCTGGGAATTTGGCTCATGAAAATATCAACTTCCATTTTATTCCTCCGCATGCTCCTCACTTTGGTGGTCTTTGGGAGGCAGGTGTGAAGTCTATTAAATTTCATTTACGTAGAGTATTAGGCAATAGTAATTTATCCTATGAAGAGTTAAACACTGTGCTGATTCAAATTGAAGCTGTACTGAACTCCCGTCCGCTGACGCCCCTCTCCACGGATCCAGACGACTTGCTTCCGTTGACCCCAGGATATTTTCTCATTGGTCGTCCGATGACTTCACTTCCTTCTCAAAGTTACACGGATGACTCTGCCAGTAGACTGAGTCGCTATCAGCGCATTGAGCAACTTCGTCAACACTTTTGGAGAAGATGGAGCAAGGAATACATCTCGGAGCTCCAACAAAGATCGAAATGGCATTCAAATATTGAATCTTTACAGGAAGGAGCTCTTGTTCTCATAAAAGATGATAACTTGCCACCGCTTAAATGGCGTCTAGGTCGAATAACAGCTTGTCATCCAGGAACAGATGGAATCAACCGTGTTGCTGACGTCCGAACTGCAAATGGAGTTATTCGAAGACCTCTTTGCAAAATTTGCCCTCTGCCAGCGATCAAAGACTGTTGAAAGACATGCTTTCAACGCCCGGGGGCATGTTGACGCGCTAAGCGCCTGACAAAATTATACCATACGCAGTTGCTGTTCTTATGTATTTGCCTGTATGCTTTGTGCTATGTACAACCACCGTCAATTTTTATTTTTTGTTAGTTAGCTTCTGGTCATTACACGGTTATAATATCTGAGAACAAGAAGTTTTAATTTCTCCTTAATTTCAAAAGTATTCAGATAATAAAAAAACTTTTCATTATTTCAAATTTTAAACAAGTCTTATATTGTATATTGTTTTTAATTTTTTTTATTAAAATATTTAATTATTCACCCTAAAACGAAAATTAACCTTTTATGAACACGAAAAATAATTGTTTTATAATTTTTTCATTAATATGCTTAACAAATTAAAATTGGAAAAAGACATACCACTCTATAAGGTTGAACTTGGGACCACCGTAATTGTTCACCTACCATGACGCTCGGACCAATAGGCTACACGATGTCTGCGGAAAGTAACAATATTTCGATTCTACTTATAATTGTTGTCGTTTATCGATATAAGGAATTTTATCGATAATTTTTTAAATATAATTTCATTGATGAATTAATATAACGTAGTAAGTGTTTCACAATTAAAGATATACAGTTTAAGAAAATATGTAACAAAAAAGTCGTATTCATAATTTCTGCCGTGGAGACTATGAAATTGCTTAAAATTTTTATGAGCTATTATTTTAAATCAAAATAAATAATTATTTGTTTATTTACTGTTTTGTTGTACGAAATGTCATTTGCCTTTATTAATTTATTTGACCTTAACGTATATTTTTAATCAATTTTAATCCGTTTCCTGATAATTTAAAATAATTAGTAGGAAGATTTTCTAAAATTGTTATTTCTTTCTCATACTTTATTTGTTTGTTTATTACTATTCCTTAATAATATAAGAGTAAATTACAATCATGGTCTATAAAAGATATTATAGAGATCATCTGTGTACATTTTCGACAGCCTTCCATTATATTATCGGTAGTATCCTACGGCCCATCACTACACACACACTAGGTAAAATGAATGACTTGATCAAGCGGCGCGTCGACGAAACTCGCGCGCTGCGCCTCGCTAAGCAGGGTTACCCCTCCTCCGCTTCCTCATACTTCACCACCAAATAGTTAAAAATTCACTGAGTACTGCGCCTTAATATATTAATATTCAACCGCTACTCACAGCATCTACTAGTGTTAGTTGACGAACCGACCAAATCATGTCTGTCGGTAATTTTTTGGCCTAATTTGTTTCCTTCCACGCGGAATGCAGGTAAAAGTGACAAACAAATCTGGTCTACTGTAAGTGCGTACATAGAGGTATGCGTCTTGAGTGTATTCATGGAGGTAACCGGGGCTGTTAACGAAAGATGACAGAAGAATGACCACTTTGTCTGTCACAGGGGTTAACGAGTCCATCGCTATCTTGAAGATATATGTAATTGTAGCGACGGTACAAATATTTATGCTATTTATTAGCGGCTGGAAAAAGCGAACCATTTTTCTGATAATTTGTGTGAAACGAAATCATTTGAAAGCATGAGTGTGTATTTCAGGATCCTATTTAAATGCCTGCTATTCAAAGCACTGCACGATCCAAGGGCCCCTCAGATGGAGGTTCGAACCTCTGCTTGGATCGCAATCGATAATGGGACCTTTTATTTTTAACCTGGGGAAATCCATTATGGATACCTGGCTCTCCTGGTTAAAGAAGAACCAAGTTATGTTTGACTCACACCGACTAAAACCGGTGGTCGCCATCTGCTCTGATGAGGCGTCACGGGATTCGGAACGAAACCACCTTCCTCCCACCACCACCACCCTCCTTAGCTTGCCTATGATAGCCCTGTTCGGGGACGGCATAACCCTGGCTCCAGTATCCCCGCGATGAGACTAAAGCCATCGACCTCCTTTAGGGGGTTTTACTGGCCAATTTTATTTCATGACCCCTGAGGCCCCGTTTCTGGTATGGGAGCACCATTTCGTTTAGGAGGGCCGTGACGAGGCGCATGGACGCGTCGGATGCCCCGTCTCCGAGAGGGATCCGTTCTTTTGATAAGGGGGGTGGGGATCTACCCCAGGGGGGAGGGGGTTGAAAATTGTACAAACATATTCAATGAGAACAATTTTTTTACGAGATTTGTTCATCAGTGATGTTTGTGAGAGCTTCTGGGCGCTAAACCCAGAAAACGCAGGAACTCGTACACCGAGGGTCCCATACACACTCATTATACCGCCACAATAAAATTGCTAAAAATCACCACCGATTTTTTCATGAACAGGCGAACGCAGCCAGTTGAAAATTATACCAGATACCTGAGGTCTATTAGGTGTATAAAAATCAAGTCCTGAGTTAACTCATAAAAAGATATAAGCAAATTTAAATTTTCACGAAATCTTGAAAGTACCTAAATTTACTTTCATTTTCAAGGATTATTTTTCGGAATTTTTACTTTATTTGTGTTGCTTGCTTTTTGACAAATTTCGTGATTCTAGGTCAAAAAGAGTTAAAAGAAAAGGTTTAAGTTTTCAAAAAAAAAATAGTTGAAGCATTAAAGTAATCACGGTGCCGAAGTCATTCGTTTAGTACTGGCGCCAACTAATTAATTTATGAGAACTAAAAACGAACATAGCTTGTCAAAAGATCACACAATAGACCCTCTATTGAGCAGACCACTTTTGCTTACTCACAGCCTTTGTTGGATTTTAGTGTCCTACAGTGGACTGCACCTAGTGGTGAAAATCTAAAAAAGAAGTTCTTTTTCAAGCATCATATACCCTATATACAGCGTGTCGTTACCATCGCGACAATAAATGAACACACATATAGGGGATAAGTTTTTAAAGTTGTATTAAACATTTAAATTCTTTAAACATCAATATTTACAGATTTATTAAATTTTCCAAAACAAAGAATTTTAGAAAACCTTTAACTATAAAAGCGTAACGTAAAGTTCATTTGTAAAGGTCACAAAGCATATGAATGGGTTGAATGAATTTAAAAGAGACAAAACATACTGTTAGAAAGAGGGGCTTGTAATGCGACGTTGTGGCGCGAGTTGTATAGGATGTTACAAGTTTTGTTTCTTTTTTACTTAATTAGTTTGTTTGAAAAGTATTTTTTTTTTAATTATGAAATTTGTTTAACGTTAATATTTTTTTATGATTATTGGCAAGTAGCGTTAGACGTGTGTTCATTTATTGTCGCGATGGTAACGACACGCTGTATACATAAATGTGCATATTTGTATTGATGTATGATCATGTAAGTTTCTCATTAAAACCAACATTTTGATAAAACTTTTATTGCTTACTGATAAACTATATCAACAGCAATGATATTTGATTTGACTCAAAGATAAAGTTCAAAATCCATTCTGTTAGAATTGTAGAACTGAGTGTCCTTCCCATGCCTTCTTACCCACACACCAGTTTTGAAATAACCTTCTGAAGCCCACTTACTCATTTGTTCAGTTGAATGTGGCCCTGACATTTCAGAATCATCATTTTGATTCCACTTGAACTCCCATTTGACTTCTTCTGGCCCATCATCATCTTCATTTTTATCAGATGTGGTCTTGTTACCAATACTGTCTTTTTCTTTCTGATCAAAGTCGTCAGCATACATATCTAGTTCAGTATCATCATTTTTTTTATTAGCCTTGTTTATTATGGAATTGATTTTTTCAAAAGTTTCCTGATAAATGTCCATATTACCAGTTTTAGTTAAAATTTGATTAGCCAGCTCAGTTATCCTAGTCACTGTTTTGCTACCTTCATCAATAATACCTGCTTTCTTCCTTTTCCAGCGCTCTGCACTTGAGATTTTTGAACTTGCACCTGTAATAATTATAACTAATTCTGCCACTTTTGTTATATAAAATCAACTAGAATAAAGGAAATTATTAAAAGAATATTTTGTTTTTAATATTCAAATGATAAAGTGATATGCCAAAATTATTTATCACAGGATTGAGAATATCTTTATAAAAGCTCGTGTTTTCTCACTGATTTTCTTTTTAAATATCTAATAAACCTAGTCCATGCGGCATGGTGCCAAGTACGCCAGCTGCATTTTCACTCTGAATAGTTATGCTTAACCTTTGAGCCAAAGAATCAGCTCTCTTGTCACTATCCATGGCATTAAGCGTAGGATGCAAAACTTTCAAAATTTTCTATGTACACCACATACCCAAAGTTTCAACAGCAAATGGCACATAATATAAACATATACTCATATTAATATGTAATTTTAGATAGGTTTGATGTTTTTAGATAGATGATGTAAATGTTGGATAAATAAATTGTGATAATTAACTAGATATTTAAATTATTTCATTCTTATTTTAATGATTTTGTTTTAATGCATGCATTAGTACAAAATATAAATTAAATAAAAGTAAAAAAATACGGACCAAGTCGTTGTATTGCTTTAGAAATTGTTTCTTTTGGCTGCATGTGGTCTACAATTTCTTTATAATTATCAATGATATTAAATTTTTCCTCGATCTCATCTTCTTCACTTTCTGAATCATCAAGAAAGTCTTTATCATTGTCTTTGTGAATTTTATACTTATCTTCAGGCCGACCTTTTACTTTAACCCAATCAATATTGTCAAGCCACCCATCATGAATTTCTTTTTCTTTCTTCCAATGATAATGACCTTGTGTATCAAAATGACCTTCTTCAAGTTCCTCTTTCATGTTGAATGGGGTTATAGTTATCTGCAATTTTTGTTAAATAACATTGGATAGTTCCCAAATTTGATAGTACTACAAGGTTATAATTAGTTATTTAAACATTGATATTTATAGATATTACAAATTTGCTTAATTTATAATTAACTAGCGACCCACCCTGTCATTGCATGGGTGCAATGTATTATTCATATAAATCTTCCTCTTGAATTACTATATTTAGTGTGATGTATGTTTAAACAATTATAATATACTACTCTATATTACTCTCTACATTATGCTACTCTGTTAATTGTAATCATTTATATTGCTCGATGTCATAAAATATAAGTCAGTATTGTTCGGGCCTTCAATAGTTTCATTTTACCTCTAACACCACACCATACACTAGTAAAAAAAATGCATCAGGATCCGTTTCGTAGTTTTAAAGATCTAAGCATACCTAGGGACAGACAGACATCGGACTTTGTTTTATGTATTGATAATTATTTTTATTAATTGTATTACATGTATGTATAAAATTTAGATACAGGATAATAGAAATGTTTGGATAATTTTTATTTTTATTTTAAAGGCAAGGTTTACTGTGGTAGGGCCACGCAGCGGCCTTGGCTGTCCGGGTTAGTACCAGGACCTTACAGAAGACCGGTGTCTGGTGAGTGAGGTGGCCGGAGGCCAATTTTTAAAAGATTGCCAATGCATCTGGGCGGTGGTATTCACTTAACATCAGGTGAACCGCCTGTTCGTTTGGCAACTTTTCGCATAAAAAAAGGTTGGGTTTTTAATAAAGGGATTGTTAGAAGGTTAAGGCAGGAGCTTTGCTCCCGCCATTGCCTTCATGGTTATTTTTTTATAACCACTCAGAAATAGGAGCATAATTAACAAGTAGCCAACAACAAAGGTAAAATAATAACAAACATAAAAAATACCCATTTCTATATAATGGTGTAAGTAATTAATAAATAAATGTAATAAATTATATGTACATAAAATTAAAACAAAAAATTATAAGTAGTACTACTGTTTTGTAACCACCTATTAGCACTTCTGTTGTTAAGTCTGGTTAAGGACAAGAGGAGCGAGGGAACCCTCCTCCATGACATTCTTATTGAAGTATCAAATTAATAAAATGAAAAAATATGTAATAAAAACTATGAATCTCCGGCGGGAGGGGTGGTGAGGGGAGCAAGTGGGGAGTGACTCAGCACATCCGGACCCCCTACGGAGACGACTCGAGTCAAAATTTTACCCAAAGGCATTTTCAATCCTTTAGCTAAATCCTTCCAGGAAGTTGGGACATAAATGAATGCAATAATATAAATTATTATTTCTATCATTTAACTATTCGCTTTCCATGCCTTACGTATTCAACTATAATATCCTTTATAGTTGAACATTGATAAGAAGTTCCATTTTATCGAATAATACAGATTTTATCGAATAATTCAAAATCTGTATTTGCAATTGCATAAGGTTCGTAAAGCCAATTTACTCACTTCACCTTCCATTCCTGCAACTCCTTCTTCTTCGCCTTCAATATCATCAGCATTGAGAACATTTTTCTTTTCTTCTTCCGCTCCACTGTCTTCTTCATCGGAATCTAACGAATGTTTCTTTCCCTCCTTTGTATTTGGAGTTGATGCCTCGGTATCGAAAGCGGTGGACGCCGATCGCTTTGCCATTGTAATATAATAATGTATGTGTTTTCTTGTTTATCTACAAACCATTGACCAATTGACCATAATCATAACATTAACATTGATTGGGGTCGCAACATTGTCGTTGTAAACGTAGTGATTACGTCCTCTTTGGGTCGCAACTCGAAACGCAAAGTTAGGTATGCCGAAAAAATATCGATATATCGATATTTTTTTTAAATTATATCGATATTTTTGGCCGATATATTTTGATCCGATATATCGATATAAAAAATTGAATATCGAAATCGAATCAAAAACGATATTTTAATTCAAACTGATTCAAAGCCGTAAAAGATAAAAACGAACGGAAAAAAACTGTTGTCTCTATACTAGTATTGTCGCGGATGCAGAGTTGCATTTTGTACTATAGTTATGTATTTATACTACAATTGAATGCTTCATACTTTAAACTATCTATATCTTAGGTATAACAAGATATAGAGATGACAAATCATTAACATTGAACTACATATTATGTTAATTTATAAGTATCATGTAAAATATTAATGGCATCAATTAAAGTTACTTAAATTTAATATGTAAATAAAGTTAAAAAATTTAATTATAACCAATCAATAATTCAATAACCAAAGTCCAATAACCAAAGTCTGGACCGCGACGCTCTGAAAAAGAGTCGCGGTCCAGACTTTGGTTGCCCACATAATCTTGGTTGCCCACAGCCACTCATCTGGACGTCTAGGGAGAGGCCGAATGGTTCCGGGACGCAATGACGGAAGTTTGTAATGCATCCATGGCCCGGTCCAGAAATCTCCCATGAAAGAGCCGAGTTCATTGGTGGTCTGAGGAGCTCTCCCAAATGCGTACAGCGTTTGTCGAGGCAAGGCGCCGGTTCATATGACGCCGATGCGAAGAAGAAGACACAGGGATGAAGACTTGGAGGCGCTGCTCTATGCCTCTTATAAAGCGGCCAAAATGGCACTGCAGTCCGAAATAGCCAAAGCGGTCGCTGCTGCCAGAAGTGAATTTCTGGCTTCTTTGAACCGTGATCCATGGGGACGGCTATACAGGATGGTGTTGAACAAACTTCGCCCCTGGGCCCCCCTACTCACGCAAACTCTGCAGTCTCAGTTGGTGACGGCGATTGCCACGGCTTTGTTGCCTCAGCGAGAGGAGCATACGCCTCCTGTGACCGACGCAAGTGTGGATATGCCTGAGGTGACCCCGGGAGAGCTTGGTGCTGTCGTTCTAAAGATGAAAGCCAAAACCACCGCCCCGGGTCCTAAAAGTATTTCTGGACGAGTCTGGGCCCTGGCCCTCGAGGACGCCCTGGAGCCCAGGTTAAGGGCGATGTTTACTGCCTGTCTGATTCAAGCCTCAATTCCACAGAAGTGGAAGACAGGCAGACTCGTCCTTATCCGGAAGGATGGGCGTCCCGTGGACTCACCCTCCGCCTATCGGCCAATAGTACTGCTCGATGATGGGCAAACTCTTTGAAAGAGTTGTTGCTGGCCTCATCATCGAGCATCTGGAGCGTGTCGGCCCTAATCTTGCAGATAGGCAATTTGGATTCCGCAAGGGTCGATCGACAATACACGCGGTGCTGAGAGTGAGGTCCCTCGCGCTGGAGGCAGTTTCCCAGGGTGAGGTCGTCTTGGCGATGTCTCTTGACATCGCCAAAGCCTATTAAATGACACTAGTTTACGGATTTTATTTTTTTATTTTGATTTGACCTCCTGAAGTTTCGAACCCTTTCCAGAGTTCATGGTCACGGGACAGACTAAGTTGTTATACGTCTTGATGTCACAGTTAACCCCGGCTACCGTCAATTATTTTGATAATTTTTTTATTCCGATCCACGCAGAAGCAGTAAATCAAAATAAAAAACGCGATAAAACCCGTAAACTAGTTTCATTTAATATGTATAATATTCGCGTAAAATCAAGAAAACAATATCGCCAATGCCTTCAACACTTATTTCTTTTTTTTTTATGCGACAGGTTGTCAAACGAGCAGACGGTTCACCTGATGTTAAGTGAATACCGCCGCCCATGGACATCTGCCACATCCGAGGGTTACAAATGCGTTGACAACCTTTTGAAAATTGGGCTCCGGCTATCTCACTCACCAGACGAAACGCGAAAGTATTTGTCATACTTCCACTTTACACTGGTTTTCGGTGAGGTCGTGGTACTTACCCGTACGGGCATGCCCATTCGTGCAACAGCCGAGGCTGCTGCGTGGCCCTACCACCGTAAAACCACCTTGCCCTGAGCTTGCATCAGGGAGGCGCTCCGATATCATGCAGTGCTCTTTTACCTGTGCCCCACCATCGGGGGCTACTTGTCAGACTGTCGTGTAGAGTATCCATACAGAGACGGGCTTCAATAAGCCACTGAGGTAACGTGTGGGGTTCCACAGGGGTTGGTGTTAGGGCTGCTCCTGAGGAATTTAAGTTATGATTGGGTGCTGCGTGGTGCCTACTCAGGGGTGTCGAGGTGACATGTTATGCTGACGACACCCTTGTGACTGCCCGTTGACGGTCCCAACGATACGTGTCGACGCCTGTACGTCGAAGTTGTGAGGTAAATGGCCCTGTATGGGGCTCCCGTGTGGGTCTACACCATGAGCCACCGGAGCAAAGCACTTTTGTGCAAACCGCAAAGAGTGTTACCCATATGAGCCTTTCGGGGCTACCGGACCATATCCGGTGAGGCAGCGTGCCTGTTGGCTGGCTCTTTGTCTTGGGACCTGGAAATTGAAATCCTCCCGTCACTGCACTTCTGGCGCGAGGAGCTAAAAGCCCAAGGCCACACGCCAGCCACAAACGAGTTGTGAACGCGCAGGAATGTCTTGCGCTCAAATGCCATGGTTAAGTGGGAGCAAAGGCTGGAGCACCCCAGAGCCGGCATACGAACCGTGGCGGCCATAAGTCCTGTCCTCAGTAGGTGGCTGGACAGGCAATACGGCGCCCTCACATACCGAGTGACGCAGGTCCTCTCGGGACATGGTCGTTTTGAAGAGGGAGCGCGCCCACAACAGAATGCCACCACTGCGACATATGTGCTGAGGAGACGGCCCAACACGCGTTGGAAGAGTGTCCAGCCTGGACGGAGCAGCGCCAAGAGCTGTGCGCTATCATGGGGCAGGACCTCTCGCTGCCTGCCGTGGTTCGTGCTATGGTGGACAGCGAGAGGGCGTGGAGTGCTGTCCTTGCTTTTAGTAAGGACATAATCCGCCGCCGGAGACTAGGCCGCAGGAGAATGGCTTACGCGCGCAACCTTCCTCCCTGACAGCGAGCCCTGGGGTGGCAGATGTGGGATTATCTGCTGCCCCGTGGAGGCATCCAGACGGGGGCCGAGTCCATTGCACCGACATGGCACCATTTTGCTGGACCGGGTGTCTAAACACCCGGAGAGAGGAATCCTTAGAAGTTTTACTTCGTTTTAAATAATTCTTTATGTTTTTTTTACAAAGTTAGATGTTTTATAATTAGTTATTTTTTGATTCGATGCAGGGCTAAAGAAACTGATTTATCTTACTAAATAAGCTGTGTGTTTTTTTCCAATGAAAGTCTTGATAAATAATATACCTAGAAATTTATATTAATAAAAGAAATTTGATTAGAATTAATAAATAGTTAACGTATTAAGAAAATTTCTCATTCGTTTAAATAATGTGAATCTGGTATAAAAATTACTATTACTTATTATTGAATCAGACTGAACTAAATACATTATTTTTTTAAAACTGAAAATTTGACCGGGATTGATATTTTTATAAATATCGATATATCGATATTTGTTTCGACTTTCGGCATCCCTATATAGTTAAGAAATAATAAAAGTTAGGTACAAATACAATACAATACACACAGAATAAGGCCATAGACTTATTTTTACTGCAAGTGTAGTTTGCTGATAGCCCGCCTTTAACAGTTTTTTCTTTTGTCGGACGAGGTCTGTGGGTCTGGGTAAACGATGCACTGATTCAGAAGAAACAATGTAGCTGGTGCACGATGAGGCTATACGCTCCACTGTAACTCCGCGAGACCTGTTAATGAATAACAGCTCCACTGTTTCGAACCATTCGCCGCGGGCATTTAGTACCAATGGTGGATGGATAAAAATCTGCGTTTTGTTACAATTTGTTGACAATTCGACCTAAATGGTCCTAAAGATGCCGCTATTGTATAAAAAATACAGGATCGGGATAATATCCCTCCCGCGAGCATCTAGTAAGATAACACCCAGACGAAATTTTAACAAAACAAAACAAGCTTCTCATTATAACATAATATGCGAGCCTGTATTGCGCATATCCCCGTTAATCACTTGAAACCTCTTTACAATATAAATGTACAGTTGCACATACTATTATGTGTTTAAAAATCAATTACTTTTTTGCGCAACCCACCTTTAATAATTTGTGGAACACCAAATTGTATCGTTACCCAAAAATAACAACTGTGTCTACCTTCTTTATATAAGTATCGATACGACATTTTAAACGAATAAATAGTCTCTAATTTTCTTGCACTTATAACCGTCCGTTCGTTTCACAAGCACAACACTAAAATTAAGTTTGAGTTTGACATGTGTTAAAACTGAAAGAAGAATGAATAAATGAATAATTTTCATCTGAAAGTGTACGGTTTCCTGGATAACTTATGAATATTTTGTAAAAGATTGTGATCCTAAAGATTAGAGAAATTTGTAGATACATTACTAATTTACGTTTATGACTATTGTATTATATTAGAAACACCCCAAAATACGTTTTTTAAAAAACTTTCAAGCCTGTGGCAGATCATTTCTGATCAGGCTTATGTCGAAATCTAGCAATGTTGCTTGTACTTCGTATCAAAATGAAAAGTGAGTAATACGATAATAATAATTTGTAAATAGAATTATATTTAACCTGATTAGTACATACATTTTGATCTTAATTTTTTTAATAAATATTTTTGGCTAATATTCCGAATAGTACGTCTCGTTTTTCAAGCTAGAAAAAAATTTTAATCTATAGAGAAATGTTAATAACTAAATATCATATAAGTTATAATCAATGAAAACCACTAGATTATGAGGAAAAAATTAACAAAGTTTTTAAATTTCAATACAACTGAAATCCGTCATTACTGTGCGTTCATTATTCATTATAGACTATTATTTTAAGTTAAAAACTTACGTTTTCACTTTTTACGTTGTAAGAATACACAAATACACAGATATATCACAAAAACACAAGTTTCTACTTCATGAACATGTATTATTAACAATTTCTAAAATTTAAAATTTGTGACTTAGTGTACCCTTAATGTCTCGAATATTAGGTTCAAAATGAGTCACAGATCCGACACAGAGCGATCCGACTCGGATAGGTTAGGTTAGAAGGCTTAGCCTTCGTTGTTAGGTTCTTTTTTTATGACCACCCAGAAAACTTTAGTGTAACAGTACTTTTAGTATTTTTAAAGACTCTTTTTTAATAATGCGAAGATTATAATTTAGAAAAGTGTGTGAATTCGTAAATTTATACATGTTGTCAAACACAAAATGGCGGATTTATTTAGTGAAAATAACAAGTTTTAAATATTTTTTTTATTAAAAGTAAGTGTTTGCCCTGGTTTTCATGTATGAAATATTTAATTATTAACATTTCTCTATTGATTAAAATTTTTTTCTAGCTTCAAAAACAAGACCTACTGTTCGGAATTTTTACCAATTAAGTATTTTTATATGTATTGCTCTCAAATTTCCAATAAGTTTTTTATGTTTAGTGTTAAGTTCATTTTATGTTATTTCTTTCCTTATCATTCTTTGAAACATAATATCCTTCATATGAATAAAAAGTATGTAAAATAATAAATTTGATTTCTTTGTTCATTACAGCTTTAAGGGAGAAAAGCTGATATATCCCGCTGCATCAAGGAATAAAGAACCAATATTGCAAGTCTTAAAACGATTTATTATTAATGACACAGATAGTATTAATGAAGATAGTCCAATTTTTGTTGAGATTGCAACAGGATCAGGTCAGCATGTAGCTCATTTTGCACCTCATTTCCCTGGTGTCAAATTTCAACCTACTGAAGTAGATGAGAACCTGTTTGGTAGTATTTCTTTTTATGCTACAAACTGTCAAACTAAAAATATATTACAACCGAAGTTGCTTGATGTCCGAAATAGACTATCTTGTTATGGATTTGAAGAAAACTCCATTGATTATATGTACAATGCTAATATGATACATATTAGCCCCTATGAATGCACGGTTGGGTTATTTGAAAATGCTGGAAACTATTTGAAACCTGAAGCACTTATGATAACTTATGGACCTTATAGCAAAGATGGTGTAATAACTCCTCAGAGTAATATTGATTTTGATATATCTCTTAAAGCAAGAGATCCATTATGGGGCATTCGAGATATCAATGATTTAGTCAAATTAGGAGAAGAGAATAACTTATCTCTTATAGATACAATAGAAATGCCTGCAAATAATAAAACATTGGTATGGAAAAAGAACTGATTTATGGTCTATTAAGTAAAATGCAAGAATTCAGATAGAATGCAAGAATGTTATCAAGTAGCTTGGGATACTTTGGTATCAAGCTTTGTAATATGTTGAATATAATACCTGAGCTCAAATAATTACATACTTCTCATTTTATATACTCAATACTCATGATACTGTAATAATCCAGTAGATGAAATTGTATTAACACACTTATAATACTTAACATATCAACAAAAGTTAACTAGTTTTTTGTAACCCACAAAATAAGTGACTTTTGATTAGAGAAACAATTTAGGAATACTAAAAGATTCATAACTTTTAAATTATACAGTTGAGGAATATTAATTTTTATACACCTAATTTATGTTCCTTCAGTCTATAATTTTGCCTTTACCTTTTTCTTTCTTTAAATGTTACTTGTAAGATTTGTAACTACCTTTTTGTGTGTTACAGAAAATAAGTTTTGTTATGTTGATATTATTCTTGGAACATTGCAAGATGCAAGATAGAACATTAAAATTTGTAGAAAAAGTACCAAAAAATAGTTGCCACTGTGGGAATCGGGCCACAGCGGCTGTCACTGCACCTTGTCATACTTTTTCTACAAATTTTAATGTTTAATCTTAAGTGCAGAGATAAGCACTACAAAAAATTGAAATTTCTAAAAAGCCATGGTGACATCTCATACGAATTATCGGTGTAAAACGATATTCGACATTGTTTGTATGCTGGAAAGGAATGAGCAACAATGTAGACAAAAGATGTTAAGATTTTCTTCAGTGTGGCAATCAGCCGTTTAGTTTAGTGGCTAAAGCTTCAGGCCCGGAATGCCGAAGACGTTCGATTGCCGCACCGGCGACAATCTTTTCCTACTTTTTCTACAAATTAAAAAAAAATAATGTTTAATCTTAAGTGCAGAGATAAGCAATACTAAAAATTTAAAATTTTACTAAAACACTAATAATGAATATTTATTCGTTTAAAATGTCTTATTGACGCTTCCAAACGTGGGCATCTGTTGTTAGTCAGACTTTCCATCTCTCGTCTACAGAGGACGCGGTGTCATCGTTCATCAGCTTCGTTGCTCCGATATGCCGATCTCTTCCACCGAAGCTAAAATCGTTCTAAACTTCACTAAAATCTGAATATAAAGATAAGGAGGTCTTATACATTAGACAGACTTTACACTTGACAGAGTGAAACCGATGGAGGCATCTCGTTGACCAATTGAATAGAGTCACGATCCTCAGCAGTGAGGGAACGACCAAGAAGAATTCAAATGCTTTATGCGAAAGAATGTCGATCAATTTCATTTTTTCGATAAATTTCATTAATTATTATACCGTACTGTCTCCAACATAATAATATTATGGCATTTTTTGGAGTTGTTTAGCAGATTTTACATTTAAACTATATATTGATACAATATCTGAAAATCGCTTACTGGCCCGTTCAAAATCTATGTATTTTACAATCTTTTTTTTTTTTGTGACGTGTTGTTTGCTGTTAGCCCGGCGGCTTTGACAGCTTCGGCGGAAGAGGTCCGCGGGCAGACGACCCACGGACTAGGGAGAACAACGTAGCTGGTGCACGACGACGACAAGAAAACGCCGTCCACTCCGCTGCACTCCGCAACACCCTGCTAACGAAAGATGGACAATCGACTAAAAGGGGGGGGGGGGGGGGGCACGACACGATCCAAGGGCCCCTCGGATTGAGGTTCGAACATCGGCTTGGAGCGCAATCGATATGGGGACCTACCGCCGCTTGACTAGGGCATAATTGCTAGGACATAATAGGTCGTACGCAGGTCTTATATAATAATAATTTGTGCCTTAAGGGCATTTTACTTTTAGCGTTAGTTAAATTGTGTAGCCGGCCGGAGACGAACGCGGCTCTATTACGAATGTTATTAATGTGCGTAGTAAATGACATACGCGAGTCGAAAGTGACTCCTAAGTATTTGACCTTTTTTCTCCCAGGGGAGCGGTTGGCCATAAAGGGATATTTGCCCCAACTTTCTACATTGGCGAGGGCCATTATAAAGATGTGACGGGTAAGTACTTCGTGTGAAGTGAATCGCCACACTTTTTTCGGGATTTATTTCTATTCTCATTTATTCTATTCTCATTTTTTTTATTTATTTCTATTCATCGAAGAAAAGAGCCCCTGTACTGATATGTTTCGGGTGGTTTAGGCCTTTTAGGATGTGCTCCGTTAGGCGGTATAACTGGTCGGGACAAGAGTGTCTAGCTCGAAAGCCGAATTGTTCCGTGGGCAAAAGGCCGTTGGAAAATACGTGCTCTTTGAGCCTGTTTAATAAGAGCCGCTCGTAGAGCTTCCCCAGGCAACTGAGGAGGTTGATGGGACGATAGCTAGAGGGCTGGTTTATTCGGCTTGCGAATGCCGATAACCGTGGCTTGTTTCCAGTCGTCCGGAAAGGAGCAACTGGAGAGAAGGGTATTGAAAATGGTCGCCAGTAAACAGATAAGCGGCCCAGGGAGAGCTTTGAGAATTTTGTTACTGATCTTATCTGGGCCCGGGGCGGATTTCGGTTTTAAATTTTTAATAATATCTTGGACCTCTTCGGGGGTCACTGAACTTAAAGGATCGCCTTCCGGTGGAAGCGCAGCCCTAGTCTCGATTACACGGTCCACCTCCGTTAGGTGGACTGTATCGGTGTGTTCGCGCGATGGCGTACATTGCTGCTCTAGGTTGTCCGCAAGGCATTCGGCTTTTTCGGAGGCATCTAGGGCTACTGAAGCGCTGTTAGGTCTAATTAATGGCGGTAGAGATTCGCCGGGGTCTGCTTTCAGACTGCGGGCCAACCGCCATTAGGCGGTGTGCGATGGCTCGATGTCCTCTAGGAGAGTGTCCCACGTTGTATGTCGGTGTTCCGATACACGATCTTTGACTTCTAGCTGAAGGCGTCGAAGTAGGGTTCGGTTCGATTCCGATCGGTATCGGTCGAAGGCGCGTTTGGCTGCATTTTTCTGTGTAATTAGCAGTCTTAGGTCGGGCGGAAAGTTAAACCGTTGGTCGCCCGACAGTTTCACCGTCCGTTCCGAGTCTGTGACTGCGGAAGTAATGGTTTCTCGGAGACTTGCTATCGCTCGATTTGCGTCATCGAACGTAGCTATCGTCTCGGGTAAGTCTACTAAGTCCTGGGGGTCCAAGGCCTTGAGTTTGACCTCAAGACGATGCCAGTCCACTACGGATTTGGTCGGAGGGACCGCGCCGGCGTTTTGGCCCAGTTTACACAGGACGGGCCTGTGATCTGAATCTAGTTCGTGGATTGTCTCTATCGACTCGATGTCGAGTGAGACCTCCTTGAATAACATGATATCTAGGATACTCGGTGTCGCATGTTGGTAGTTGTCCACCGTAGGACACCTAGTGGGAGTCGCAGGTGCGATTATGCTAAAGTTTAAATTATCGGATAAGCAAAAGAGATGCTTTCCGTTGTTATTTGGGATGCTGTGGATGTCCCATGAACCGTGTTTGCAGTTTAGATCTGCAATTATCACGGAAGGGCCCAAGTTGAGTAGCGCAACTAGGTCGCTTTGTAATAAGGTTTTGTTCCCCGAGAGGTAGGCTGAGACTAGTACAAGCGGCCTGTGGCCGGTGAGCGCTAACCTACACGCGGATGCCTCTATTTGACTTAGCTCTGGCATGTCGAGCGGGCAACAGTGCAAGGACCGTTTATAATAAATTAGTGTGCCTCCCAGACGGTTTGCTAACCGGTCGTGGCGGACAATATTGTAATTTGCGATTCTGGGATCGCGTACACTAGGTTTCAAGAATGTCTCTTGCACTAGAAAAATATCTACGTTATAATCGCGAAGGAATTCCGCGATTTCGAACCTTTGATCCTTTATGCCGTTTGCGTTGAAATACGAAACAACCAGAGCCCGAGGTTTTGTTCTACCTGCGGTTGTACTTCCCATTAAGGTGTTTTTATGGGTCTAATTAACGACGCGGCGGAGCGCGGTTTTATTGCGCGGACTATTGTCTTTTACGGTTGGCTCGTAAAAGCCCAAAGGGCTTCCACAAGCGTTTTATGTTGGCTAATTGCCCTAAGACGCTCGTGGCCAGATGTGGCGGCCGCTATTTTAGCGGACAATACGGCGAGTTCCTGCCTATTGATCCTATCTAATAAGCTGCAAATATTGGCGATTTGCGCGAATGGGTCGTCCTTGTTTTCCGCGAAAACTGACGGAGTTTGCTGCACCTGCGGCCGCGGCGCCGTTTGAGAGGCGGGCAGCTGTTGTGCGATCGGTCGTGAGGCGACCGAGATTACCGGCGCGGTTTTCTGCGCAGCCACCGGGGGTTTCGTCCAGGCGTTTGTGACGGGTACGGGCGCGGGAATGAATATAACGGGTGCGGGTTTGGGCAACGTGGATTTCGCGGGAGATTTCCTCGCGGGAGTTTTTTTTCGGGGCCTTAGCGCAGCCTCTGTAGCTAGCCGGGTGGCCGGTGGCGTTTACAGTTTACGCAGTCCGGTGGATCTGCGCAATCTTTCGGCCGCGTGCACTCGGTAGTGCCGTGGTCACCGGTGCATTTGACGCACCTTGGGTGAGCGAAGCAGTTATTGGCCGTGTGGCCAAAATGCTGACAGTTGTGGCACTGTGCCACAACACCTGACTTACGCGGGGACTCGATGACTAAGTCACTGAGCCCACAGACCCTCTTCAGGTTGAAGATGGCCTTACCTTCCGGGGTAGGGTCAAGTTCAACCATCACCATGTCCATAGGGACACGGGTTCTGGGGTGTCTGAGGCGTCGGACGGCATGCACAGGGTATCCCTGAGTGCGGATGTCGGTTTTCGTCTTGTCGACATCCGACACTTTGGGGACGCCCTTGATAACTACCCGAAGCTTGCGTTCTTCGGGCAACGAGTAGGTGTGAAAACCTATCTTATTTTCGCGCAAGTATTTCGTTACGCGGCGGAAATCGTCCGTTGTGTCAAGGTATACGCGGATACCCATTTATCCAAGGTTTTACAAGAGGTATGTAGATGACACCTTCACCATTTTACCAACAAGTAAAGTTAATGCATTTCTAAACCACCTTAACTCAGTAAATTCCAAAATACAATTCACTATGGAATTAGAGCATAATAACTCTTTAGCTTTCTTAGATGTTTTGGTCATCCGCAATCCAAATAACACTGTAAGTCACACTGTGTATAGGAAGGCAACCCATACAAATAGATACCTAAACGGTGATTCTCACCACCATCCATCCCAGTTAGCTACCGTGGGTAAATCTTTGTTTCAGAGAGCACAAGGGATCTGTGACAAACAACACCTGGCCGCTGAGCTTCAACATGTCAAGCAAGTTCTGCATGACAACAAGCTTCGAGCACCGCGCCTACGTCACAGTGACCGAGTGAAACCAGCCACAGTGGAGCGAGTACCTGCGTTTCTACCATACGTCAGAGGAGTCACCGACAAGATTGGCTATATCTTAAAGCAGGCTTCAATTAATACATTCTACAAGCCGCTGAAGAAGATTAGTCAGTTTTTTACCATCTGTCAAGTGTAATATCCCTCTGCAAGATCCAGGAGTGTACAAACTTGACTGTGAATGTGGGCTCTCTTACATAGGTCAAACGAAAAGAGCAAATAAAAACCCGCGTGAAAGAACATATAGCTGACATCAAACACAATAGATTGAACAAGTCTGCAGTTTGTGAGCACATTTTGAATAGACCCAACCACTACATCAGGTTTGACAAACCACAGATCCTTGCAAAAGAACACCGATTCCTCCCAAGGATGATTCGCGAGGCTATTGAAATTAAAAAACACCCTAATTTCAATAGAGAAGAAGGTTGGGTACTACCATCAGCTTGGGATCCTGTCATCAATAAAAAATTAAATCTAGGCCCAAACGAACCACTACTGCAAGACAAGATACAATTAGCTCCCTCTGCATAGATCGGACACAAAATTAATAATTCAAAACTGACGGTAGCCCGGGTTAACTATGACAATCAGACGTCTAACACCTCAGTCTGTCCCGTGACCATGAACGCTGTAAAGGGTTCGAAACGTCGGGAATTAAAATTAAAAATAAACGCGATAAATCCGTAAAATTAGTTTCATTTATAATGTGTAAT